ACACTCACTGACACCCATTCTCACACAATCACTAAGTTTATGGGGGCGGGGCCAGACCGCAATACAGGCAAGTCGCATGTCTGAGCAGCCCCTGAGGGCTTTAGCTTAAAGAGCTGAATTTCGGCAGAGCCTGTACCAACGCGGAGCCCAGGAGCAATAATTTGCTACTTAATTGTCAGCTGGTGCTGGGGCCGGGCCCAGATCCGGGAATACTAAAACCTGAAACAAACAATCCAGACTCCGGAATTTGAGGCCTAGTCGAGCGAGAAGCGAGGTGGATGTTCGCTTCCTTGTTCACTGCCCCACACTCTCCCACCGAGCACCTGACTGGTCCCGTTTTCCCCCCCTGGACCGGTGGGGGTCATTCCGGTACCCACCAGCACACTTCGCTGCCGGACCTGCTAAACCACAAAGGCGATCAGCACTGACCGCTAAACACACCTAAGAGGGCGGCACCTCATGTTCCTGAACAACACCAGGCAGCAGAGGCACACAAGAGGTGGAAGAAGGTCTTTCTGCTGCCTTATGGAGAGCCCTGCACACGCCTCTGGAGAGAACTGGGAGATAGCTGGCTTACCAATCGCTGACCCGGCACTTCTACATCCTGAAAGGTACCTGCGTCCATGCCCCTCGATGAGCCTGAGCAGAAGGGAGAGATCCCAGAAGACGACCCACTGGCTCTGATCTGGGGAGTAACCACGGCTAAAGCCTTGCGAAAACGGCGTGAAGAGGCCCCAAAATCTGGCGTGTTGCTCCCTGAGCATATCTGGGGATGGGAGTGTGAAAATAGAAAATTCCAACTTGCCACAATCAGCATCTCTTCGGGCCTGGGTCAGGAGAACTTTCACAACCCACTTAGTACACCCAGTCTGGGCATAGGCTGAACTTGCACTATAGCTTTACACACTGTCACAGACACACACAAATAAAAATTAAAAAAATAAACATTTTTAGCCACCCTCCTGTTTCTTACCTTTTGCAGGAGGAGTCCAGTGGGACTGGGCAGCAGCAGCAGGTGACAGTGGGGCTTGCTGTGGCTGGTGCTCGTAAAGACCGCCCTCCTCCTGTATACCCGTGCACGTCTCTGCGCTCCAGGAGGAAGTGAAGAGAACTGTAATTACTTCTTCTCGGCACTGAGCTCGCGCAGGTGAATGGGGACAGGCACGAGTCCTGCTCTGTGGAATGGAGGCGGGCGGCAAGCAGAGCTGTTGTTAGCTGAAGCCCTGCCAGCTTGCAACTCCCCTGAATCGGCCTCAGTGCAGGGAGGAGGAAATTACTGTTCCTATCACTTTCTTCTAGAACTGCACGGGGATGGAGGGAAAGGGCTGATAAATCCAGGCATCTGGGCCAAAATTTTTAGGCGCCATGGCGACCTGGCGCATGAGATTTGTCAAGCCCTGCCTTAAAGGTTTTCCAAACTACCAAATTAACATCCAGAAAAATAAAGCTATGTAAATAAGTTGTATCTGGAGTCGAGCTTGAGAATTTGTCGCGATCAGTTATTTTTCATAATTTTGCCATTCACATTTCAACAATTCAGAGTTTAAGGAATAAACTTCAAAATGTCATCCCTACCCACACAGCTATAGTGACAACATTGAAGACATAGACTTTCAACACTGATATCAAACAGTCAGAGATTATTTCTATCTGCTAAGTACGAAACAGCAATCCTAGAAATGCCTCACTAAATGTCCCAAAAGTATAAATTTCTATCTGACAGACCTTTGGGTACCATACTTTCCTACTCCCTCCTCTATAAACATCACATATAGCCTACTCCTAGAACTCCAGACAGTCTTTCTAAAGGACTTACTCCTGGAGACATGCCAGCCGCAGCGAGACGTCGTTGGAAAAAAGGTAAGTAAAAACACCATTCCCACGTGACCGAAGGGGAGCTGGTAAACTAAACATGTACATGCATTGACAGACGGAAACATACACACAGACAGACACAAAAATGACACACATGTACACACACTCACTGACAGACTCAAAGTATTTTTTATATACACATACATTCATATACAGACACACAAACACACAGAGAAAAAAAAATAATACATATATTACCACTCTCCTCTTACCTACATTGGGGGCGCAGGAGGGGCTTTCCTTGTGTTGAGTGGGACTGGGATCAGGTTACAGTGGGGCTGGATGCGGCCGATAGGAGTGGGCTGCCGCTGATCCAGACTCCCACTCTCCTCTCTCTGTTATCTCAGTGCACCGGGAAGAAGTGAAAGGAACATAAATACTTCCTCCCGACGCTGAACCAGTGCAGGGGAATGGTTGGGCGGGCAGCTCTGCCGAATGAGCTGGGAGTGCAAGCGGCCCTGCAGAATGGGCGGACGGCTCTGTGACCAGAGACATCTCAACCTGTTTCCCAGTCAGCTTGTCCTTCTCCTACGCGGTCTCAGTATCAGGAGGAAGTAGTTACAGTTGCCTTTACTTCCTCCGGCCGCACAGAGTTGGAGAGACAGGAAGATGAGGGCTGACAAATCCCCGGCGCCAGGAAAATTCTTAGTCTCCATGGCGACCTGTGATTTCTGTTTCTGGAGCCCTGCTATAGTGTCCCTTGAAGCTGGTATGCGAGGAGAGAGGTGTACACCTAAACACAAAGTGTGTGTCTGTGGTGATTTACCTAAAGCTGCTTGATTTTAGTTTAAGTGGTTTATTTAAATACCTACAGATGAAAGAGCGCCAGTTTCCTTTTACATGGTGGAGCCAAATTCCCTGCCTTGCAAGCATGATCATACTTGTTAATCATAATTTTTATGCCTAATAGTTAAACCTATACAAAAAATATTTAAGAAAAAAGGAAAAGTTCTTAAAGCAGGTATATTGATAGCGAGAACCCAAGTCTCACTGAGATACCAACTCTCAAAAACCTGCCAAAGATTTACCCATACAGGAGGTAAACAATTCAATTGAAAGGGTAAATAAATTACCCTGTTTTTTTTTAGCTTTATGGCTAATTAGGTAGGAAGGGGCAATTTATCAATTTTTGCACCTTATTTATTTTTTAATTCCTCCTTTCAGCTCCTATACTAGATATGAATTTATCTCCATCACCCCAACACTGTGCCTTTTTGTAGTCTTCTACTCCTGTTTCTATACCTACTTCAGCTGTATTTGTATCACAGATACTCCAAGATCATGTGTATATATTGACCTGATTGATGTCGTTACAAAATTGCCCTAACCGCTACAATTGTATTTAAAACTCCAAAGATATTTAACTTTGTGAACCTGAATGGCTACAGGAGCAGCTGCTTTATACCCGGATACTTTTATAGCCGCTATACATAGGACATATCAGGCAGGCTTGATAGACTCCCCTTTTAAATCACTTGTACACTTTTTGTATCACTATTTTCTTTGGTTTCACGTTTGAGTGTATAATTATGTGTCTAACGTACAATACTGAATAAAGATTCTTAATAATTGTAATTGTTTACCCTTTCAATTGAGTTGTTTACCTCCTGTATGGGTAAATCTTTGGCAGGTTTTTGAGAGTTGGTATCTGAGTGAGACTTGGGTTCTCGCTTTCAATATACCTGCTTTAAGAACTTTTCCTTTTTATCTTAAATTACTTATCTGGGTTATGCCCATTTTTTACCCATCTAGTTCTCCTCTTGACTATAAGGTCAGTTTATCCTGATCTTTTAGTCCCTTCCTTTTTGACTTTTGTCTATACAAAAATTAAGCTCCAAGTGACCTGTTCAACTCCACTTCAAATATGGGAGGTGGTCATAGTATTTAGAGAAACTCTTTAAGGTTTACCAATTTGAAGCCAATTTTGAATTCATCTAGTGTTTTGAAATTTTTTTGAAAGCAGTTTAGTGTTTCGAAACTATTTAACAAGAACCTCATTAATTTATTCACAATGCTTCCAATTTTAAAGTTGTGGATATAGAACAGGAACTACTGCTCTTCCTTCTACACCAGCAAAGAACCAATCATAAAGCGACCTCATCCCATTGCTTTCTGTTAATGGCTGTTGGTTGCCCCTCCAGTTTTCCTTGATTGATGACTGAGGACAGACAAGTTGTACACTGATAGAACTAGCAAGAAGTCTAACCCATATGTTTAAATAGTCTCATCTTGATGGGAAAAAAATCTGCTGAAAAATCCATTCTGACTGAGATTAGTGATTCCCTTCTTATTTAGAACTTAGAGCCAGATTGTGACATTGATAGCCAATTCAATTCCCCACTCATAGCCACATACATTTGTGGGTGTATGCATTGTGCATGTAGATTGTTTATATAAAAAGAGAATTAATCTTTACCTTTATAAAGACACACACCCTGTACACCAATATTGCCATATAACCAAATAGAACTGCTTTATTTGCACATTCAGGAGTTCCATACTGTGAACATTTTTACAGGCACTTACAGAATAAAGTTTTTCTTGTGCTCCCAGTGCAAACATAATAAATATGTACCAAGAACAGAGCTGTGTTCAGGTCCTTGCAATATCCAATGTAAAACAATGAGCAATTGTTGCTGTCAACTATTAAATCTTCAGCTCACAATGTGAAAATACAGTGCACACATTTTGCATTTAAAAGAGAAACCCCAAAATGGAAAATAGACCATGTATATTATTTTCCTTTGCATCCAGAGCCTTGATACGGACCAATCTTAAATAGAATGCCCACTTATGTATGTTAAGACATCTATGTAATAAGTATAGAACCTGCACATTCTGCCTTTTATCCCTCTTACAGGGTTATTCACTTAAGTGAGAATTCAAAACGAATTTAAAGTAAATTTCAAATTCAAGGTAAAAAATAGCTGGAAACAGTCTGAGTGTCAGGTATACTTCCAGTTTGCTATGAGAATAAATGAGGGAATGAATATGTTGCAAAAATTCACATTTATTGATAATTAGTGCAAAAAAAATAAATATGGCAGTCCAACATCAAGGCAGGCATGGTATTCTGCAAACCGCATGCAATGAATTGAAATATTAATCATACTCCAAGAATCCAGGCAAAACGTTGAGTATGTTAACATGTTGAGAAAGGGAGATTGAAACACATTCACCTCATCTCTTTTGTTAGGTAGCGGTGTGGGTGGTCTCTCTCATCTGGCAGCAGCAGCTATTGCTATCATTTCGACACTTTCATCTTATCCAATATTTCTATTTTTTGCAAATCTGTTTCATTTTTGCCTGGATACTTGGAGTATGATTGATATTTCAATTAATTGCATGCTGTTTGCAGAATACTATGCCTCCCTTGATTTTCATCATGTATGAGGACTGCAATGTTACATTTTCTGCCATATTTTGTTTTTTTTGTACTAATTATCAATAAATGATTTTTTGCAACATATTCATTTCCTCATTTATTTGCATATAATTCTATTTTTTTTCTATGGATTACAGGGGTTTATCACTGAGTGCTGACCGTAACTTTAGTCTATGAAGTATTGTCTATGTTTGGGAAAGGTCCTGCACCAGAATTTAACCTCACTTATTATACAGGACTTTTGGAATTTTCCTGTTATTTAATATATCATTACTTGGAGTGGATGGATCTCACTGCCCATTTACACTACTTCTGTTCTAATTTTGCTTCCAGTTTGGCCTTAAATTTGAAATTCACCTTTTATTCTTACCTTAATGAATAACCTTGTAAGATATCTTATGTTTCTAAGAAAGCTGGCAAAGAGTTGCAAAGACATGAAGAGGTAATAACTGACATATTAAATCAATGTTTGCTTCAGCTTTGCCAACTAGTCCACAGCTAGACAATCAATACATGGCCACTGACCAGAAAACGTAACAAATGAAAATAAAAATGGCAGCCTCCATACACTATGCAAGAGAGAGCAACAACAGAACAAATACAGTCATATGACTTATGACTATAGTAAGTTTGAACTTCTGCGAATCTGATCTTTTTCTGTAGGTGAAACCAATATTTAAATAGAACTTTAACCAGGGCATGAGGCATGTCTATTCAAACAAATTCTATTAATTATAATCTCATTACTCAATCTCTGAGGTTTTCATTGTAACCATTTTTACAATGCAAATTGGACATTGTTAAAGGCTCTGTTTGATGCATAATGAAGAAGGTTACATGTCAAGTATTCTATTTTGAGCTAAATTTCCCTGTTCAAGTCATTAGATCTTTACATTATGAGATACTGTAAATATCTTGCATAAAATAACATAACAGAACCATATTTCTTAACAAACAAAAGTGATAGGATTCAACATGGATAATATTTGTTTAAATTTGCCATTCCACTAATTATCTTTTAATGTACATTCTGTGACAATCTATAAACAATCTCAGGTCTCACTGCGTGTGAACAGACATTCTAACTAATTGTTTGTATTTTTTCCACCTTCCAAAAAAAATAATAAAATTAAATGCTTTATGAATAAACATTATCTATTGTTTTTTTTTTTTTCAGAATAAGCTGAAAATTAGTTACCTAAATCTTTAAGTATGATCTTAATGACATGACCCAATTTTATTGTCTATTGAAAGATAGACAATAAAATATACTTGAGAGCAATGTATTTTTGGGTTTCTGGAAGACCATAAAATGACAACCCAGCCATGGCAGACATCACATCTTAGAAACCTATAGTGCCAGGAAAACGGCTTTGAATCCCTTTAAGCACAGTAAATTTGTTTTGGCTTAATACTGCACAGTAGGTAAATCTCCACTGGCAGTCCATTCTGTTAAAGGAAAATTCCTTAAAGAAAATAGGACTGTGAGGTGTTTGACTAATGTTTTGTTTTTTATAGTTGCCAGGCATTTTCTTAGAGGCAAGTTTTTAATGTTTCGTTGCATGCTTCTTCCTTTTTCTCAAGTTATAATTCACAATCTGACCACATACAATGTCTTATATATGTTTTCCTTCATAAATGCCTTCACCAGCTGTAGTCCAAACCTTTAATTTATTCACTAAACTAAGCATCTAAAACGTTAGTCCCCATATGTTGCTGAACTAAAACTCCCATAATTGCCATTTAATGCATTCAAAGAATTCTGGTGGTAGGCCATGAACATCTGTTGGGCCAGAGTTTGACATTACTGTCCTAAAACTCTAACTGTATCGAACTGAAAATGTAATTGAAAAAGTTTGAGTAAAATAGAGTAGCTTTGAGTAGAGCTGAAGTAGTTAATGTTTGCCTAAATATTGCAATTTGTTTGCAATACACTACACAAGGTGAATAAGCTCTATACAAAGCACTTCCAGTGTGCACCAAATGGCTTTGGCATATAATTCTACATAAAAATCTTTTAAAACAAATCAATTCATGTCTGCCCTGGGTAGAAAGAACAATATAATCGTCACATACTAACCAATGTCAAAATCAAAGTATATTGCATTTTTATGATTAGGTTTTGCAGGTGTATCCCATGATGCATTGCAGGTCTGCCGAATGAGTACCTCCATCCATTTAAAAGCAAATGGGATTCCAATGGTATAGAAAACCTTTAGACACATTTAGGACTATACATTTAGTACTATGAAGAAATCAAATCTGCTGACCTTTGACCCACCCCCATACCTTCTCACATTTTCCCTGCGGGCTTCTTAATGATATGGCCTATTTTAAAAGTCACTTTAAGAATCACTGTACATGCATTCTCTATAGTGAGATCTGTTTTGGAAAGCACAGTAAATTCAAAGTGAAATAAAGTAAAAATTGTAGGTCGAAATAGGCAAACTGAAAACACAACTTACTTGAAGAATGTTTTCGTCCAAAGTTGAACTGGAAATTTACTTTGAATTCCCAACAAGTCCATGTAAGCTGTTAAGGTTTATATTATTTCATGGCATGTCACAGTGGATGAAATAGCTGTGCAATAGACATCATAAATTAACATTTTAACATCTATGTGGTTTTAAACGTACATTAACTTTTTAACTAATCTATTGGACTATAAAGAGAAGATACATAGTACTTCCTGTTGAAGCCTTTAAATCTAGTGCTTTGTGGTAATGTGTAATAAGCTCTTGGTTACAGCGTGGCTAGGCAGCTTAACATCCAGTAAAACAACAACTACTAGCTGTATCAGCAATACATTATTCAGTTCAAAAGCCTATATATTTATATATATATATATATGTGTCATTTAATGTATGGGGAATGTGTAATCAGTCAGTCACAAACACTGAACCAATATCATAAATCGGCACTTGTATTTGTGAAATATCTTCCTGTGTGGATTATGCATGAATCAGTAGTGAGGAGTTAACTACCTGTCTATTTATGACTTCTTGGGCACAAGTTCCATACATCTGATTCTGGGCTCTAATTTACTCTTAAGGTTTAAGTCAATGGTTTACATTAATATTACTCGCATTGGTCCCAAATCACAGCAAACGTAGGCCAGGAATGGCTCAACATTTGTTTGTCAACTTCCCGTGATGTTCAGCCTACCTAAGGCTGGTTGTGCATCATGGGAAATGTTGTTCACAAACATTGGCATTGCCATTGTGAACCACACATTTACTATTGCTGTAAATATCTAGAATATTTTCGAAATTATTTTCACTGTAAGTTTAAAAACAAAAATGTGTATTAAAAAAACTTGCGTGAAAAGACTCAACCCTATACGACTATCACCCTATTAAAAGAACATCTAGTATTACTACACGTTGTATATACATCCTCCAAAATATACACCATTACCAAGTATACACCATCATTCCCCATATAGAACATGGGGCTATGGTGGTAGAAATCTGCAGCAATATACTTATAAATTAAACTATTGTAATCTAATAATCCTTACAAAACAAAACCTAACTGTAAACAATTGCTTGTGGTTTTATTCATAAGCAATGTGTTAGAAAATAAAGCTATCATATTTATTACTCTCTGTGTTATTTACTAAAACGTGAACTGTCTGGGAATTAAAAGTATATTTAACATTTTTAGCCATACTAGCTAAACTAAAAATGCAGTTTATTTGGAGAATTATTTTTCCCTAATCAGCTAGTTAGGCTTCGAATATACAATTTACTTTTAATTCCCATAATTCATGTTTTGGTAAATTATGCTATTGGCTTATTTCAAAATTGTATGTGCATTTCCAGTCGACAAAATTCTGCTGATTCCTTTGTGTTCAGAGGGTGCAGGCTATTGTTACCTTTAATTCTGAAAATCTGTGCTCCCCAACTTTGTGGCAAGGATTAATAAGGTGGCAAGACATCATTCACTTGGATGATTCAGCTTGAACTCAGATCATGCATTGGTATAAGTGCTTGGTAAATTGTGGATTAGGCAAATGGCTGGAGAGGGAAAAGCTTGCACATTCAGGCTAACCCAAGTTGAGCTGCTTGGGTAATGTCTATTGCGCTATCCATTGGGATGACCACAATTTCAGCTTTGAGCAGCACCTGATCTGAGATTAAAATCACGCCCCCAATCCAAAATGAGTATTTCAGATAACGATAACATTTTTATGAAATACAGTGACTGGGTTGACATTTCACAGAAATTCCAACACAGTCAAAAGATATAGACAAAGCAAGGACAATTTTGTCGTAGTATATTTCCTACACTTGACAAAACTTGATAAAAGGCAGAGCTACCTTTGTCAAGTTTTGTCATTTCAACCAGCCAATGACCGCTATAGGGAAAAGGGCTTTGTCTGTGTAGGCTCTTGCGGTATATTGCATAGACCTCAATGTTGTACTCTCGTAGGGGTAATTCTCTAAAGTGAGAATTGTCTGGAATTCACTGAAAATTCAAAGTTAAAATTGTAGGTCGAAATAGGTAAACTGAAAACCCGACTGACTTGAAGAATGCTTTACGCAAATATAGCTGAACTGGCTATTCACCTTGAATTCCCAACAAGTCCAGTTTAGTGAATAACCCTGTGAGTTATTTCCACCAGCCATCACTAATGACAGCTGTAGGTAAAAAGACTGTCTGTGGCGGCTCAGGCAACATCCTTCATAGATCTCAATGTTGAACTCGCGCGCATGCGTGGACTCTTTGCCATGAGGGACAGGTTCAGGTAAAAATAAACTTCTCCCGCAGCAAGCAAAGCAGTCCCCATCAAGGGTCTTTGCGAAATATGCAAAAACCGCAGACAGTGACAGAGCCGCTAAAAGGCACATCATGTACAATGAAATTGTGTTTTCTGTTTCAGCAGTGTTGCTCAATGTATAGATTTGTTGGATATCTTTCATTTGATAGCTATAATCCTTTTCCCAAATGGTTCATTTCATATGTTTGCATTTTACAAAAAAAATGCACATTATGGAAATAGGAGTCTATATTGACATATAATTCAGACTGGTTATTCGTCCATGCTGAATAACTGCTACTTGGTGCTTAGTTACCAGGAAATTTGAATACTCCAAATGTCATGTCTATCTTTTAAGGAGGATGCATGGTAAGGCTAGCAGAAACGTCCTGTGAGATGAAAACTATTTTTTTTCCATGATACTCAACAAGCAGGTTCTAAAGTTAGCCTACCCTGCAACATGTGACAAAAACCACATGTCCACAGTTGCCAAATATCATAGTGACTGCACCCATAAAGTCCTAACAGCATAACTACTATAATGTTCTGTAACGGTTATTATGCATACGGTATCCCTTTAACCCCTTAAGGACCAAACTTCTGGAATAAAAGGGAATCATGACATGTCACACATGTCATGTGTCCTTAAGGGATTAAAGTATTAAACAGTATGATCACATTACAGTTTATGTTGGATGGGAATGTTGCAATTATAGTAGCGGCTTTAGCATAAATCAGGCCCTGTTCTTATTACAAGGCTTAACCCTGTGAGAAGTATTATTAACTTTCATTTGCCAATTTGCACAATTTACCATTCTGTATTCAATAACATACCATACAGGATACAGTTTTAAGGCTGATAGATTCAAAGACCTAAACTACATTTTAAAGCAGTGAGCATCAAATACAGCAGCTTTTTTTTTCCCTTGTCACAATCCGTTACTGTGAAGCCAGTAATTTTTAAAATGGCTGTCGCTAAAATTATCGAGTCAAGACTTTTTTCTACAAAATTCAATAGTCAGTGACTGAGGATTGGCAGCTGTTGTAACCTTTAACTCCTCCTATAGAGATTATCAGGAGAGAGATTATGTAAAACCATGTTTCAATGCTAGGCGGTAAAAATATCAACTAGGATGAAGTCACCTAGCTCACTTTAGCTTGGTATAAATTGGAAAAGACTGCAAACTCCCATCACACCCTAGAGGGAAAGAAAAAACATGCATTTCATATTAAAGTACATTGAATAACCATAGCCTATCTCCAAGCACAGTGTGTGTAGTTTCACATACATTACTGAAATGTTGCTGGTCAGGTATATGTTAACTCTAAGTGGTTTAATCACTTAGAGTTAACATATACAGCAAATTCAAATTAACTAAAAACAAAATAGCAAACATTAAGCTAAAATAGCAAATCTGTAAGTCTGCTATTTCCAAATTGCAGTTTAATATTGAAATCACTAGAATTTGCCATCAGAGAATGAATTCTAAAGGGCAGCTTGCTCAAACAGTGAACAGTGCACACTGAGCAAACCAGTGTCATAGAGGAGTTAATATGGCAATTTATTAGAATACATGCTTGTTGTCTAGTTTGCTTAATAGCTAACAGGAGGTCACTAGCAGTGAGGGACATGCGGAGTTTGCAGGCGTAAATGCAGTGAGGAAAATGGAAATCATGGTATTTTTTAGCCGTAATGGTGTACGGGCTGCTGGTATTAATGCTTTACAACTGCTTTTTACCAGCTAACATGGAAATGTTTTAGCAACAAACGCTGAAACATAATTATATGGAAATAGTACAAAACTGAGCTACATGTAGAGAAGCCAAACGTGTTTACACTTAGTCCATATATCTGATTGAATGATCTTAGCTGGCAACTCTATGGATCAGTAAGAAATGTGTGAGTTCCACAGAACATCAAATAAAGGAAGCCAAGTTGGTAAGGAACATGGCTTATTCTGCTCGCAACTGTATGAGATTACTCCTACTTAACAACACAGAATTTCAAGGCCTCTGCTAGAAGAAAGTACAGAAAACACAGGTGCCTGAAGAGCAAAACATTGACGGCTTAAACATTCTACCAGTTCAGCTTTAAATTAGTTGTGGTTCTCAATAGAATAACATTAAAATTCAGTGTATAACTGTGTATTCTCTTCAGGATGATAACAGATTTCCTAATGCTCTGTATCTTCCGATGGTGCTGACAAGTTCATTGTATTATTTTCGGTAACTGGAGTATCAGCTCGATGGGCAGCTTTGGTCGCTTCATTAGTTTGCCCATGAATATCAGGGCTCACATTAGCTTCTGCCTGAGCAGCAGGTTCTTCATTCCTGGTCAGTCTTGGAGACCTTGATATTGGCTGAGCATTATTAATCCCATTTCCCTAGGAGGCAGAAAGCAGAGAAACACAGATTAATAAAGGCAATATTTATTGTCAACATATATCTCAATGCAACATAAACATAAGTCAGTGATGAAAGGGAGACAGTCTATGTAAACATGCATATTAGTTCTCCAACACAATTGTAAATGCATTCATGCACATGTGCGTAAAGCATCAAAACCTGCCCCTGTCTGTGCAGTACGTGTGGCACACATTTAAGAAGTATGATAAATTACATTTAACTGGCATCTTTTGATTATACCAGGGCAATGAGATACAAGAGAAGAATGAAAAATATTACAAATTTAAAGGATGATTGAATTACTTTTGTACCTGTATTTGTAAGATACAGATGTGCAAAGATAGAAACCATCATCCTGTGTAATCGTATGCACATAAAGTGTGAATAATTGCACATTGCATGTTATATGTGTCTAAAAAAAGTTGTCATTAAACACCTTTATGTACAGCATTACAATTGTTCCATGACAAACGTAACCTACAATACATATGTACACATACATTACACTTGTAAACATTTTTCATGCTTCCAAAAGCATGCAAAACCCCACACACAGCACAACAGAGACGCAGTGGAAATAACATACCTTCAATTTTTGTTTCCTAACTGTGATCCCAAAAAGCGGCACAGGAGAAACAGAACTTAGTAAAACTAACTGTGAGTCAAGTTGAACGTTGTTGTACACACAGCACAACCGGCTTGTTGTAAAAGGTACAGCTTTGTAAGTGAGACATTTTATAGGGAAAAAAAATACCATATTCAATTGACAGCTCCTTTTACAATATAATTTTTGGAATTTCTAATTTTTATATGTGAGATTTTATTACTAAAATAAATAAAATAATTTTTTTTTAATAATTATAATATATAATAGGTGTTCAAATATATATGTATCATTGAGCTTGCTAAATGAAAGGACTCTGAGAAACATAAACAGCGTAAGACTATGAATTATTTTTCTTATTCCCTTTTTATCTTAACGTTAATGAGTGAAGCTTACTCGAGATTCTATACCTTTTTTATACTTCTGCTGAATGTTAAACCCAATGCAAAACCCTGATGTAGACCTTTACCAGATTTTTTAGACATTCTAAGGTCGAATTAAAAACACATAGAGTTCAATTTTCAAATTTTCGCTGACTTACTAGGGCCAATATTCAGCATTATACACTTTACCCCCTTTGCGACATACCATGTGCAAGAAGACAACTTAGGCTATTTACAGAATTTGCACTTGGCCATTTCAATAACAATTTCTGTCAAATTCAGCGGTAACAATACCGACAGCCTGAACAATACCGATAGCATCAAGTATCTGTCAGTGGTAAGAGTATAAGTGACACCACATATATGCTACCATAAACAATACAACTTTCACCATCAGCCCTTTCGTAAATGTGCAGCTCAAAGTGAGTGAAATACCATTCTGATTATATTACTGAAACTGGCCTGATATTGTTAAACATTTGCGGTCATTTTTCTAATGTTGCTATCTAAAGTAACAGAATGACACAAGGTGAGAATATTTTTGTGGAAATGCAAATGACTAGTTTACTCTTCCCCTTATTTTTGTGAAAAAATAATTGAAGCAAACATCGATTGCGCCTTTCGTACTCTTTGCCTACTTTTTATGATGAGGGTAGAAATATAAATGTCACGGCAAGGGTGCATAATTCATTATTGCACTATTGAATAGTGTCCTTTAATGTCATTTGTGTAGTGCATAGATGACCTGAGGTCAGAAAGTTTATAGCCTTAATTCCTCTTTGAAGCTGGGATTCCACAGAGGTCAAATGACAGAAGGGGTAATGTAAATGGCATAGGAATGTGAAATGGGTTAGATGGCTTACCATATGGATTGATCCTTTGATTAATCAAAGGCTCTGTAACGTTTGAGAAGTTACACATAAGTGGCCTGGAAGTCTAGCTCCAAGATTTCTTTGATATGTTAATGAACATTAGCTTTCAAGAAAAGAAAAAAACAAGCCTTGTGATCTAGTATCATATCCAAATGAGAGAAACATTAATATTTACCCACAGAATAATAATTACGCCTAATTTTTGTTATATTTGGAATGTGACAAGCGCCATCTTCTAAACAAACCCAAACATGATTGGCATAACTTATAACCATAGGGGAAGGGATTGTGATGTCTGCTATATTGGGTCACAAGTAAGGAGTGTGACATATCTAAGGAATGGAAAAATAATAACAAATTCGTAGATGCAATTATTATTTCTGTGGCAAGTACGTAAGAGGAAATAGAACTAAATGTTTCCATTTGGATTGCTGTTGGTCTGGAACACAAAGGGGTGGTCACTTATTGTCTCTATAGATACGCCTTAACTCCATCTCTGGGCGAGGCATGGTAATCCACAGGATATATCTTTGATGATACTGAAGTGTGCATTGTCCTTGCTTGAGGGGCCAGAATCTAATTCTAAGTGAGTCACCATCTTTCTTACCAGAGACCCCCTGGAGCAGAAGTTTTACTTTGAGAAGCTGAGTGATTAGGACGTCTGTTATTTCATCCCTTTCGTTTTTATCTGTTGTTGGGTGTAAATAATTTTGATTTTCATCTATATTTTTGTATGCACTGTGACTATTTTTTGTTCATAATAAATATTCCTTTATTAAGTTCTGCCTTTGTCTGGTAAAGAATCACGTTACCTGAAGAGACTTATTAGTGTTTTGCAATTGCTTAAATATTGTGCTAAGTTATATTTGGTGGGTTTTCTTATAAAGTTACCTGAGGGGCCAAGGCATTTTATTATGCTTAAGTGTGGGTGGTGTTAACCCCTTAAGGACACAGCTTCAGAAGCTTGACTTACGCTTAATGACACAAGCAATTTTTGCATTTTCTTGCTGTTTGCGTTCAACTGCAATTTGCATCTCTCTCATTGCACCGACACATATTATATACTGTTTTTTAAAGGACAGAAAGGGCTTTAATTTGATATAACATATATATATATATATATATATAAATGCTTACTTATTATAAAAAAAATACAGAAAAATGCAAAAAAAATGAAAAATATTGTTTTTTTTTACAGTTTTTGCAATAATAATGTGTGCATAATTAGTGCAGGTTAAGGAAAGTAATTAAAAATAAATTTATTTATTTGTTCTGATTTACAGAATATATAATGTGTCTGGGATTTTAAGTTTTTTTTGGTAGTTACAGGTCACAAAGCACAAGGAGTAAAATAAACTTTTAATGTGGAGCGATTTTAGAATTTGGTATGTTTGTCTTGTAAGCTTAATAGCCATAAAAGAAAACAAAATTGCCACACAAAAGTATATATTTATATAAAGTAGACATCACGGGCTATTTACCTAAGGTTGTTTTGACACTTTCTACGTAGCCATTTCACCGCCAACCTCTGCTAAATATTGGAGTAAAATTGTGTTCTTTTTGGTTTTTGGCACACAAACTTATAACAGAGAAATTCTCGTGTATATTTTGTAAAGTTGGTGTGTGCTATTCCTGTACAAAGTTTTATTTTGTGTTCAGTTACATCTGCTGAGTAAAATGACACCCCCATTGTATGTCTTTTGCACTATTTCGTGAAGTTACAGTGCCATACAGGATACCTGTCCTTTTCAGTATTCACAGTAGAATTTTGAGAGATGAATTTAATGAGCCTTAGCTTCCATTTGGGGTATTATAACAGTTTGACTGTTCAAAAACCCCCACAAAGGCCTACCATTTGTAAAAGTAGACACTCCAGGGTATCTTATAAGGTGCATATTGTGCCTTAACATGCCCCCATTTTTTCACCAATATATGCCAAAGTATGTGGTAAAAAATAATTTTGTGCATTTTTTACATACGGATTGCATTTTTGCTGGGCGTTTTGTATATTTCATATGTGCCACTAAGTTCAAACCCCCCAAATTATGCTCAGCTAAGTCTTCTGAGTAAAATGACACCCCATATGAATGTCTTTGTCACTATTTCGTGAAGCTACAGTCCCATATAGGAGACCTGTCCTTTACAGTATTCACAGTAGAATTTTGAGAGATGGATTTAATGAGCCTTAGCTTCCATTTGGGGTATTATAACAGTTTGACTGTTCAAAAAACCCCACAAAGGCCTACCATTTGTAAAAGTAGACACTCCAGGGTATCTCATAAGGTGCATATTGTGCCTTAACATACCCCATTTTTTCACCAATATATGCCAAAGTATGTGGTAAAAAAATATTTTGTGCATTTTTTACATACGGATTGCATTTTTGCTGGGCGTTTTGTATATTTCATATGTGCCACTAAGTTCAAACCTCCCAAATTATGCTCAGCTAAGTCTTTTGAGTAAAAATACACCCCCAATGAATGTCTTTGTCACTATTTTGTGAAGCTACAGTGCCATATAGGAGACCAAGCCATATCCGTTTTTACCAAACTTTGAATTTTGACGCTGTGCCTATGTGCAATTTCCAAGCATCTTCGCAGGTTTTAAATTCAAACTACCCCACAAAGGCCTACCATTTCTTAAAGTAGACACCCCAGGGTGTTTCAAAAGGTATAGTTTGAACCTTAGCGTGGGATCATTTTTCCGCTAGCTTGTACCAGATGTAGTGGTAATAAGCGTTTTTTCTGCCTTTTTGACATACAAAGTGAGTTTGCACAGTATATTTTGCAAACCTTATGTGTGCTACGACTGTATAATACTTCATATGTTGCTCAGCTATGTCGGCTGAGTACAGCAATACCCCCGTATGTACCTTTGCCAGGTATGTGTGGACATCGGAGGGGCACATTTGGGACACAGCCATTCCAGTTTTTTTTCAAACTTTGAATTTTTATGCTGTGCCTATGTCCCATTTTAGAGTATTTTACCAGGCTATATAATCCAAATTCCCCATAAAGCCATGCCATTTCTTAAAGAAGACATCCCAGGGTATTTCAAAAGGCATATTTTGAACCTTGGCGTGGGATCATTTTTCCGCTAGCTTGTACCAAGTGTAGTGGTAATAAGCATTTTTCTGCCTTTTTGACATACAAAGTGAGTTTGCGCAGCATATTTTGCAAACCTTATGTGTACTATGACTGTATAATACTTCATATGTTGCTCAGCTATGTCGGCTGAGTACAGCAATACCCCCGTATGTACCTTTGCCAGGTATATGTGGATGTTGAAGGGGCGCATTTGAGACGCAGCCATTCAGTTTTTTCTAACTTTGAAGTTTTACGCTGTGTCCATGTTCCAATTTGGAGTAGTTTAGACGGTTGGTTATTGAAACTTCCCCACAAACACATACTATTTATTAAAGAATACACCCTGGGGTAATTCAAAAGGCATATTTTGAACCTTGGCGTGGGATAATTTTTTCTCTAGTTTGTTCCAGGTGTAGTGGTAATGAGCGTTTTTAAAATGTATTTTTTTACTTTTTATAACTTTTTTACTTTTAAAAACTAGTTTTTAAACTTTTGTTTTGCTTATAAATTTTTTTTAAACTTTCCTAAACTTTCTTAAAACTTTTTTACAGATTTAACATTTTTCTAAGCTTTTTTTTTTACCGTTAACCCCTAACTAGCAGTACGCAGCACTAACAGTAAATTCCCCATTTTCCCATAACTCCCACCCACCCCAGCTAGCAAAATATATAGTTATAAAATATTTAAAATTAATTAAATAAATTGAACCCCTGAGGGTTAAAAAAAATGAATAAAAGTTAATCCTCAGGGGTTAAAAAAAATTAGATCACAGTATAATACTGTGATCTCTATTTGATCGCTGTAGGCAGTGATCGACTGGCAGGGAAGGGGTTAATTTTTATTTGGACTAGGTAAAGTGTGTTTTTTTTGTTTTTTTTACTTAAATGTTATTAAAACATTTTTTTAAGCTTAATTTTTAACTTTTTAAAGTTTCTTTTAAAACTTTTTTAACGTTAACCCCTAGTTAGCCTAACGCCAAATCCCCCAATTCCCCACTAACTTCCACCCACCCCAGCTATCTAAATATATAATTTAAAAATAATTTAATTAATTAATTTAATTAATTTACCCCCTGAGGGTTGAATTAACCCTCAGGGGTTAAAAAAAAAAATCAGATCATAGTAAAATGTAATCCCTGCCAATTGATCACTGTAGTCAGTGATCAATTGGCAGGGAATGGGTTAATTTTTTATTAAAATGGGTAAGGGGGGGGACACTTTAAATAAACTTTATTTTTTTTAACAGCAGGGGGCAGGATCATCACTGATCCGGCTCCCTGCACTTCACACAGAACCCGGAAGTGCAGGGAGCCGGTAGGTGAGTATACAGAGCACATGTGCTCGCTGACTTGCGGTCAGAGCGAGCACATGTGCTGGGCAGACTGACCGGGTGCTCCCGGTATGCCTCCAATGCAGAGGCATACCGGGAGCACCATTAACCCCGCGATCGCCGCGATAGCGGCGATCCGGGGTTAATTTTACCGCGTGACGGACGAGGTCCGTCACCCGTCGTTAAGGGTCTCCCCCGTGTGACGGACCTCGTCCGTCACCCGTCCTGAAGGGGTTAAGGGGCATTTTTGTCATTATTTGCGGTCTAGTGCAGACAAATAGTGAACTTTAACCCTTTCACCACCACAACTATGTCACACACACTACTGAAGTAGGTTGCGTTCGGGACAATAAAACCTGTTGGTCAAGCAAGGAAGGTGACAAATCTGCATTTTCAACCCATTTTCAAACTGTTTGTTTTTTTGCCTTCTTTTGGATCAACAGCAAAAACCAATTGTGAGAAAGGCTGAACTTGATGGATGTTAGTCTATTTTTAGCCTATGTAACTACCTAGTGACATAACAGAAGCCTAAGACGGGATGTGGTTTATGTGATGATACACTTGTTTTGCAGCAGTTAGACTTAAATCTATTAACACTATCTGTAGAATAATCTGAACATTTAAACAAATGTGAACTTAAAATACAAACTATTATTCATTTAGATTCAAGTTGTCACCTATATATTAAAGACAAGTTCGAGCAACATCCCAGAGGTAATTATTACCAGCTGATGTAAATTGGTATGAGTTGTTCTGGGGGTAAATACTAAACTATTACAAAATATAAGACTGATCGCATCATGTACATGAATTAATTTTTTTTGCAATTTAGGTTATATTTTAAACCAAGCTATATGCAACAGGGCCTTGCATTCTAATTCTGACCCAGTTGAAATTAGAATAGAATTGCATTTAGTGAGTTGTCAAATTGGAGGTTTTTTTTTTTTAAGCTTGCTTGCACACTAACAGCAACTTGATCTTTAGTGAATAATTGTCACCGACTTCTAAAGGAACACAGGGTAAGTAATAAAACTACCTGTGGTGCAGGACTTGGCTCACTGGAGCTAGATGAAGCTACTTGTAAGAGGTTCGAGCGCCACTGGAAGAGGTGATCAGGATTCCAAAAACCTCAGGTAATATATCAAACTTTTTACAACTTATCCCAGGAGGCAGCTAGGGCACTATAGGCGCCATAACCAATGCAGTGGGCTGAAATAGTTATGGTGCTTTGAGTATTGCTTTAAATCTTTCTAATCTAATTTCCTTGAATGTACTGTATTTACTTTCTGCTCATACTATACGGACACCATTCACCTCAATGTTTATGCAAGTTTACCTGCAAAGGCTGATTTTCGGAGGCCTGATTGTTTTTGGAAAGTTTAACCATTTCTTTAATCTGGTAACAGGCGAATGCGAGGGTGACCCATGGTGAAGAGCTTATTCCCCAGGCTGGTCTGTTCACATCTTCCTGTTCCTCTTGGTGCTTTGTTTTTTTTGATGGAAGCTTGCGTTGGATGGGCATCATGTTCTCAGGGTGCTGGGGCACCAGGTCGATAGTTGCTATGGGAACAGGGCTTGAGGGAACAGGAATTCTCTCTGCTAGCATGGTTTCATCTGCAACAAAAGCAAGATATCAGCAAAACACAAATGCCATGGTTAATCAACTCAGAATGTTCATCTAATGATCAGGATACTTACAGTGCCAGAGAGAAAACGTTTGATTTATTAAGCAAAAGAGTAATGTGGTTGCTGCTAAATCTATTAAAATTAAATATTGCCTAGACACAAACTTTTTCATCATGCCTGCAGTATCATTTACATGTTTTTATAACAGAACCCAGAAGAGGTGGATGGCCATGTCTGATTCAGGTAATGGCTAACTAATGTACAGAAACAATTTTCAATTTTTATTTGATAAAATTTATTTTTTGTGTGCAGTTGGCCATTCCTGCAACCACAATGAGCTGGATGGCATCCAGAAATATATTTTTGGGAATGGAACACTGCCAGTATCTTGACAGGCACAGTGCCTTCATGGGAACTTTGTTGTTTAACTACTTTCTTTGTTGTTTGCAGTAAAGTCTATGTAGCAGTGGAAATCAAATAGCTGCTTTGCACAAGAAATGGTAATAGAGAAGGGACACAAATGTTGGGGAGCTGGTGTATCATAGGAAAGAGGTGATAAGGAGGGTAAACATAAAGGCTTTCTATTGGCCATTTAATGTTAAAGATGGTCCTGACCTTGTGGCTTGCAGAAAACTATGAAGACCTGCTTAGTTTACGGAGCAGGCGAGTTCTCTAACAAATAAGGTGCCTATGTTTCTATTTGAGAACACTTATGAAAACAGGAGTTTGACATGAACCCAGGATTCAGAGTTCTCACCTCTCTTCCTATATTTTAAAGCCCTAGCTATATACTCCATGTTTTTTATCTTCATCTCATAGGCACTCTCAGGGCCGCCACCAGAAATTTTGGGGCCCCTAACTCAGTTCAGGGTCTGGGCCCCCTGAGGCCCGCCTCCAATCCCGCCCACAGGGTCCGCCCCCAAATCCCGCCCACAGGAATACACACACAGACACAAAAACACACTGATACAAAAGGACACATATAGATACTAACAGACACACATACTAAAACAGACATACACATATATACAGACACACAGGCATACATAGTGGCAGACACATGCATGAGGGCATACCCATACATACACCGACATACATACACACAGACATACATTCATACACACAGACATACAGACGCTGACATCCACACACACATACATTCATAATGGTATACATTCATACTGGCATATATACAGACATACATACATACATTCATACATACTGACATCCATTCACACATACACACAGACATATGTTCATAATGACATGCAAACATACATTCATACTGACATACATGCATACATACATACATAATGACAGGGGTCCTCAAACATTTTAAACAGGGGGCCAGTTCATGGTCCCTCAGACACTGTTGGGGGCCGGACAATAAACAATATGAACTAATTCTTATGCACACTGCACACACACGCATAAGGACATAAATACACACACACACAAACAGACAGACAGACACAAACATATACATACATATTGAAATACACACAGACAGACATGCATACATACACATACTGACTTACACACACAGACATACATACAAACATACATACTGACATACTGACACACACAAACATACATACTGACATACATACATACTGACACACACATACATATTAACATACATACATACTGATAGACACACACACATACATACATACTGACACATATTACATACATACACACACACACACACACACACACATACTGACATACATATTAACATGCATACATATTAACATACAGACATATATATTAACATATAAACATACATATTAACATACATACATACATATTAACATACATAAATACATACTAACATACAGCTAATTTTGCTTACCTTTTTTGCAGGTGGAAGGCTGTGGCTGATGGGAGTCAGCGTGGCTCCCGCGGCCTGGCTTTCTTCCCTCCCGCGCGGCACGGAGTGACGGCCACTTCCTCCCAGCAGTACTTTGCGGCTGAGATTTTTAAAAAGGGGCCCGGTCGCGCAATTGCACGGCCGCAGCGCTGACCGGGCCCCTGAAGACACAGGGCCCATCGGGTGGCCCTAAGTGCTTGGGCCACCCAATGGGCCCCAACAGCGTGCGGCCCCGGTGCAACTGCAGTTTCGCCGCTACACGTGGGGCTCAGGCGGCCGGGCCCCCCAGGGCCGCCAGGCCCGTGACAACCGTCATGGTTGTCACCCCCTGATGGCGGCCCTAGGCACTCTAGCTGTGTACGAGGATTCACATTACGATCTAATGTTAGGATTGGCATGACCCTAACACACAAAATTAAGGGACACTATAGTTACCAGAACAACTACAGCTTATTGAATTTGTTCTGGTGAGTAGAATCATTACATTAAGGCTTTTTGCTGTAAATACTGTCTTTTCAGAGAAAATGCAGTGTTTACATTACAGCCTAGTGATAACTTCACTGGCCACTCCTCAGATAGCTGTTAGAGATTCTTCCTGGGTCATGGCTGCCTAAAATGCATCCAAACATTCAGTGTTTCCTCCCTCTGCATGCAGAAACTGAACTTTCCTCATAGAGATGCATTGATTAAATTCATCTCTATGAGGAGATGCTGATTGGCCAGGGCTGTGTTTGAATTGTGCTGGCTCTGCCCCTGATCTGCCTCTTTGTAAATCTCAGCCAATCCTATGGGGAAGCATTGTGATTGGATCAGGCTACCACTTCTGCTGATGTCAGCAGGCAGCGGGCAGGTCAAAAGGAAACAGTGACAAAGCCTGCAGCTTCAGGCTTGAATACAAGTAAGATTTTACTATTTTTAGGGAGACATGAGGCGGACAGGGGGGCTAGATGGTGGTTTCAACCCTATAGGGTCAGGAATACATGTTTGTGTTCCTGACCCTATAGTGCTCCTTTAGATATATGCATGGAAGGTATGCATATCGGCCCTTAGAGTGGCCGGGCTAGACAACTAGGATAACCAGGAAGTTTATATTCTGTACTGGGTTGTGATTGGTTATACATCATCAAAAAGCACCACAAAGACTGACATTATAAAAGGAGACCGATAGGAGGGTTCCATGTCATATATGATGTCATAATGAGGCACCAGGAAGCTAGGGATGAGTGGGTGTGCATCAGAACACAGAAAAGACAGTTAATCGCCTAGCTTAGCATCATGTAAACCACAGTCTACAGCAGCACTGTGCCAAAACAAGACTTTGATGTCCCTTGAAATGCTGGTCCTATTTGTATGTTGTTGTATTTTGCTTGTGTTATGTACCAGTGTTGCAGCAGAGGGGTTGTTTGTTTAAGGGCTGTTTGTGTTATTTGTATAAAGGGGATCCTTCTTCCGCAGCTGTATCTGTTTGTCTGGCTATGTCGGTGGCTGCCCTGGGGGCCAGTGGGTACCAGACTAGCCAGGTACAAGCAAAGGGCTGAGGTTGCAGTGCACTGAGTAATTTGAGGATTGCTCCACCTGCTGCAATTACCACTAGTTCCAAACGTTTGTTTGGCACTAGCACATATCTGAAGAAGTTCCACTGGGGGACCTGGTAGGCCAGCTCCAGGGAAGATCTGAGGATCTCCCCAGCCTGTGTGGGTCTGCCAGCCTGGCGTGCTGTGCAAAGCCACCTTGTGTGCCATAGGTTGTTGACCCTGGGTCTACACGGACCAGCCACAACACCACTGACAGGTGACGTGAATAACACTCACTATATCTTTACAATGTCAAGGGGGTCATATTAAGCAGCAAGTGAACAGTCAGCTCTTCACTTTCATGTTTTCATGATGATGATTTGAGTAGCAATGACAAGGGCCAAGTAGTGATGGCTAGATCAAAGAATCTCCAAAATAGCAAGTCTTGTGGGGATAGTCCTGGTATACAGTGGTTAATACCTACCAAACATGGCACAAAGAAGGATAACCATGGTCATGGTCCCCCAAGGCTCATTAATGCACGTGGGAAGCCAATCACACAGAAGACCTACTGTAGCTCAAATTGTTGAGACTGGCAAGAGAGACCATGATTACCCCTGTCCACCACGAGGAGACATGAGCATCAGAACATAGATATTTATAACTTTTAAGAACACAGAATCCACACTCAGTTTAACTTCACACATTTTGATAACACTGAAATACACACAGTACCTTCACCTTTCTCTGGAACTGCCACCCATTGAATGAGAGCAAAGAGCAGTAGAATGACAAGAGATGCCATTCCGACCCCCCGGAATGTTTCTGCAGCACCTAAAAATGAAACAGAAATCTAAGTCACTAAGACGTTATTGTAGCGGGCCTCCTAGCAACCCGATTGGCTGCCCCTGCTCAGCCATGTCCTTCCCCAGAAGGGAGTCAGTTAGAATACAGAGAGACCCATTTCCCACACAGTCCTGGGGTTACAACAACAACTTTACTGGCCACATGCGGCTTTATACTTTTCCCCATGCAAGGGGTGGATCACACAGAAAGCCAATGAGCCCTCCCAGGGTCCTCGCATAATGGAACCCCAGTCCCTTTGTCCACTGTTCCCGCCACTCAGTGTCCCCTCCCAGAGCCCCCCGCCCTCCCAGGGGTCTCCTGATGGAAACGGTACTCTAGTCACTTTGTCCCCTGTTCCCGCCACCCATCCTCAGGGTTTCCGCCTCCGGGGACTTTATCCGGTGAGCCTCTGTACCGGGGAGCCCCAGCGCAGGAAAGCTTCCAGCCTCCTGGACTCCCAGTCACAGAAAGCCTGCCAAACCGCCATTGTCCCTAAAGAGTGTCCCCACCAATCTCAGGGTTCCCAGAACGGTGACCGCCACGAGCAGCCTCTGTTCGTGGGGTCCCTGGGTGAAACGAGGCAAGGGAAGCGTCTCCTTTTGGGACACGGATGCTCCCCCTGGCCACCGCCCGTCTATACGAACGGCGGCCACCCAGGAGAGCACTCATTTATTACTTCCCTTGCGGTTTCACACTTATGTTGCAAGTTGCCAACGTTCTAATTGATTGGTGTGAACATTCCAAGGGGCACTGGGGAGGTTCTCGTTTGGCAACAGAACGAGGTGGGAAGCAATCCTCGAATGCTCCCCCTGGACGGCGTTCATATAACGAACGGGCCACCACCCAGTGGAGGCACACACCGAGGCTTCCCTTGCGGTTTGTGGCTTTGACACCTCATTACGAGGTGCGAATGTTCTAAAGCAACATTCTAAGTGAGTTGCCGGGGTGGTCCCCATTCGGGAGGGGAATGCATTCCCTTCGTGTAGGCCCTTCTGAACGGGGAGCAGGCACATTTATACGAAAAGCACAAGGAACAGAACATATATAATACAGAACATATATAATACAGCAATTCACAAACAGACAGCGGTCCCGCCTCAGTCACACTGGGTCAACATCACAAAATAAGCATGGTTCTTTTTTTACATTATGATTTTTCAATGCAATGGATGCTAAGAGCCAGTATATAATATTATACACACATGGAATTTAAATTTCACAGTGACTAGTTTTGCAACTGCAGCTAGTGCACAAGTAAGGAGAGCTGTAATTCTTGCACAAAACCAAACCAACAGCAATCTAAAATAAAGGGCCATTGGTAACCATCAAAACCAAAGAAAAGAGTCACTATCCCAAATCACTATGCACATTTAAATAACTGGCGATTTTTCATTTAAGGGTAAGCACACCTGCCACGCCAAGGCAAACCTCTTAGGGGAGTCCTACACTAACAATTCACCTTCCTTCTTTCAGCTTCAGGTAGACAATTCTTTAAAGGACCACTATAGTGCCCTGAGGGTGCCCCCACCCTCAGGGTCCCACTCCCGCCCGGCTCTGGGGAGAGAAAAGAGGTAAAACTTACCTTTATTCCAGCGCTGGGCAGGGAGCTCTCCGATCCTCCCATTCGGCTGAATGCGCACGCGCGGCAAGAGCTGCGCGCACATTCAGCCAGTCTCATAGGAAAGCATTTACAATGCTTTCCTATGGACGCTTGCGTGTTCTCACTGTGATTTTCACAGTGAGAATCACGCAAGCGCCTCTAGTGGCTGTCAATGAGACAGCTACTAGAGGCTTTGAGGGCTGGATTAACCCATTTATAAACATAGCAGTTTCTCTGAAACTTCTATGTTTATTAAAAAATGGGTTAACCCTAGCTGGACCAGGCACCCAGACCACTTCATTAAGCTGAAGTCGTCTGGGTGCCTAGAGTGGTCCTTTAATGAGACAGAGAGGGGTATTTTTCTAAAGCCCTACATACTTATTAACCTTTAAACGGGAACACATGGGTTGGGCGACAGTATTGTAACATGGCTATGTGTTACAAAAGCAAATACACTAAACAAAATTGTAAACGCAACACTGAACCTTAGGCTGGCCACACTAAAAGACGACTCTAAAATGTGCAGTTTTATCACACAGCACAATGCCACAGATGTCGCAAGTTTTGAGGGAGCATGCAATTGGCATGCTGACTGCAGGAATGTCCACCAGAGCTGTTGCCCGTAAATTGAATGTTCATTTCTCTACCATAAGCCGTCTCCAAAGGCGTTTCAGAGAATTTGGCAGTACATCCAACCGGCCTCACAACTGTAGATCACGTGTAACTACACCAGCCCAGGACCTCCACAACCAGCATATTCACCTCCAAGATCGTCTGAGACCAGCCACCCGGACAACTGCTGCAATCCAAAGAATTTCTGCACAAACTGTCAAGGAAGCTCATCTGCATGCTCGCCGTCCTCATCGAGGTCTCGACCTGAGTGCAGTTCCTCATGGTAACCGACATGAGTGGGCAAATGCTCGCATTCGATGGTGTCTGGCACTTTGAAAAGGTGTTCTTTTCAAGGATGAATCCCGGTTTTCACTGTACAGGGAAGATGGCAGACGGAGTGTATCGTGTTTGCTGATGTCAATGTTGTGGATCCAGTGGCCCATGGTGGCAGTGGGGTTATGGTATGGGCAGGCATATGTTTTGGAAAACATAGGTGTATTTTATTGATGGCATTTTGAATGCGCAGAGAAACTGTGACGAGATCCTGAGGCCCATTGTTGTGCCATTCATTCACAACCATCATCTCATGCTGCAGCATGATAATGCACGGCCCCATGTTGCAAGGATCTGTATACAATTCCTGAAAAGCTGAAAACATCCCAGCTCTTGCATGGCCAGCATACTCACCGGACATGTCACCACAGTGCTCACTAACACAGATTTAGACAGATTTGTGAACAATATTTGAGAGAAATGGGCCTTTTGTGTACATAGAAAAATCTTTGAGTTCAGTTCATGAAAAATGGGGGCAAAAACAAAAGTGTTGCGTTTATAATTTTGCTCAGTGTATAAATACAACAAATTTGTGTTGCGCTCAAACTCCCACAACTCCTGGGAAGCAGCAATGACCGTAGTACACACCAGCCCCAATACATAAAATAAAAAACAAAGAAAAGAGTTACTTGCGCATTATCCCAAATCCCTAAGAATATTTAAATAACTGGAGGTTTTTTAGTGGACAATGGCCATTAGATGTAAGCTTCCCTGCCAAGTCAATGCAAACTTCCTAGGTGAGTCCTACATGAACAATTCACTTTGCTATCCTTAGCTCATACTAGTCCTCTAATGAGAGCTATAGTCATTGCTGCCACCCAGGACTAGTGAGAGTTTGAGCGCATGGCTTAATTTTGTATGTTTGTATTTGCTTTTGTACTACACAGCCATGTTACAGTGCTGCCACCCACCCCATGTGTTCCCCATTAAGGATTAATACGTGTTTAGGGGTCTAGCAAAATACCTATTTCTATCTCATTAGATATTTGACCTTTTAGCATGGGGAATTGTTAGTGAAGGACTCACCTAGAAGGTTTTGCTTTGATGTGGCAGGCGAGCTTGAACTTAAATGGCCATTGGAGTGGTGCTAGAAAACCTCCAGTAATTTAGGTGTGCATGGGGGATTTGGGATAGTGCACAAGTAACTTTTTTGCTTTGCTTTTTATAGTTAGAAAGGCTGTCTATGTAAATAGTGTTATGTCTTCCAGTGGCTGGTGACCTCTCCTGTGACATTAGGCTTCAATAAACTGCTGTTTCTGAACCCTGGAGTGCCTAAACCTCTTTGTGCTTTATTCATATTGTATTTGGGACCTGGTGCTGAGTCCTGGTTTGGTTGCACCCTGGCTCAGAGTGATGGGATGGAGTGCAGTTCCTTGTGTATTGGAAACCTCTCCTCTCTTATCCCTTTGTGTATGTGCTAGTCATGCATTAGCACAACGCAGCCTTTTTACGGGTATGTGTTCAATGCTCTAACTTTTCAATGCATACAATGCATTATCACGATAAATTGATTCTTACTCACTCTTTTGGAAAATAATAGGAAGGCCTAGCTAGTAGAAAGAAATGATGAGCTATTTCTTATATTTATTTTTAATGTCAATAAATAAAACTGTATGCTTTTATCTGAGTATGGGCATGAAATCATTACTCTTTAGACACTGTGGAGGTAACTTGTTCTTTGCAAAGCTGATTCAATCTTAATCCAAGAGTAATAATGCAGAGTAATTATCATCTACAAGTATTTTATCAAGCTGTTGTATTCCAAGCTCCAGGTTTTTCTGGTGAATTTTAATATGATTTTTTTTTACCTTGATTGTAATTGCTGGTGCACAGAAAAGCATCTGCTATTTATAAGCTACTTAAAGGGACACTATAGTCACCAATACAACTTTAGCTTAATGAAGCAGTTTTGGTGTATAGAACATACCTCTGCAATTTCACTGCTCAACACACTGCCATTTAGGAGTTAAATCACGTTTGTTTATGATTATCAAACTTACTTTAAACGATTTTATCTCCTGCTTTGTAAAGTGAACTTAAATTACACACAGGAGGCTCCTGCTGGGTCTAGAAACCTATTAATACAGCAGGAGATAAGATATTCTAAATTAAACAGAATAAGCAAAAAAAGGAAGTGCAAACATTAGATGACTCTTTACAGGAAGTATTTAGGTAGGCTGTGTAAGTCACATGCAGGGAGGTATGCCTAGGGCTGCAAAAACAAAGTGATTTAACTTCTAAACAACAGAGAAATGAGATGTGAGACTGCAGGGGCATGATCTATATACCAAAACTGCTTCATTAAGCTAATGTAATTTTGGTGACTATAGTGTCCCTTTAACATTGTTGCATTTTTTTGTGTGTGGATTATATTTGTTTTACTATTGAATAGCTGCCCATTGGATACGTCTCTATATTTAAAGGAACACTATAGTGTCATGAATACAAACATGCTCGACAAAGACCTCTTGGCAGGTTGAAACGTTGCTGTTCTTTTTTGTACCATTAAACCTGCCTGCGGTGTGAACACCCTGAGTGCCTGGAGATCTTCTTTTTGTTGCCTTATCTTTGTGTGATTGCTGGTCCTGGTCCAGTGCACAGACTGCTCGCTGGGATTGAGTGCAGCTCCTATCTACATTTTTGTAACTATAGTTGTAAAAACACATCTAGGTCCCTGGCCACCTTCCCTCCTGTTAAATAAGTCATTACCTCTCGCAGATGTTGTCTTAAAGGGACACTTAAAGCACTTCAGCTTGTTAAGGTGCTTTATGTGCAAAGAGTGTGTTCTCTTTTTTTTATTTTACAAAGAGTGCAGACTTCAATAGAAATTCACAATTTTATAAATTAACCTGGTTACACCCCCACTCATCAATCAGACAAACGGTCCTGTTACTTCCTGGTTATTTAACTCAGTGGAGTGAAACTCAAGAGACAGGCAATTGCTCAAAGCACCTGCCTTGCAATGACTTCTTATTGAGCTGCATTGAAGTCTGTGATTGGACAGCCACATAAAGTCTGGGCAGGGTTAGAAGGGTGATCTTGGTTAGACAAGAGATCTACAGCTTTTGCAAGTTTTTTTTTTCTTCTTCTTTACCCTCAATGAAAAAAAGCATGGTTAAATACATGCATGTTTTCACTAGGGTGTATCTACTAAACACACAAAAATACTAAAGACTTACCAAAATAGCTGACAAATATCCCTCCAATCATAGCACCACACCCTCTGCCCAGTCCAAGATGAAGTCCCTGCAGGATGCCCTGAGCAGAGGTCCGTAATGCAGGTGGAACTGCTGCACTGAGATAGGAGATGCAAGCTGCCCATATTGATGCGTGTGTCACACCTGTACAGAAAATATACAATAATTAATAACTGTGCACTGTCTGGTGAATTTTCCTACCATGTGATGTTTCTGTACAGAACTTAATGCATGCAGAATGACATCATAAGACTAAATACAATAGATTACTTATAACTAGCTAAGTTACAATATTATATCTCATATAATAATTACGAGGATGGGTTTAATCACACAAAGCTGACCAAGTTCTTAAAGGGACAGTCAAGTCACTAAAACAACTTTAGCATGATGAAATAGTTTTGGTGTATAGATGTATAGATGTCCCTGCAGTCTCACTGCTCAATTCGCTGCCATTTATGAGTTAAATCACTTTGTTTATGCAGCCCTATTCACACCTCTGCATGTGTCTTATACAGCCTTCCTAAACACTTCCTGTAAAGTGAGATCTAACGTTTACACTTTCTTTATTGCAAATTTCGGTTTAATTTAGAACTTCTTATCTCCTGCTCTGTTAAAAGCTTGTTAGACCTTGCAGGAGCCTCCTGTGTGTGATTAAAACACCTTGAGGACACAACTTCTGGAATAAAAGGGAATCATGAAAGAATATATCCGTCATGTGTCCTTAAGGGGTTTAAGTTAAATGTATAGAGCAAGAGATAAACACTTCTGCAGTAAGTTACATCTGAATGAAAATGGAATTATTATTTTTCGAGGCAGTCTGTCAGTCACAGCCATGGGATGTGTAACAAGGGCTGCATGAGACAAAAGTGATTTAATTCCTAAATGGCAGATAATGGAGCATTGAGATTTCAGAGGCATGATCTATACAATAAAACCGCTTCATTAAGCTAAAGTTGTTTTGGTGACTATAGTGTCCCTTTAAGTACAGATCCAATTAAATATAGACAGGAGAATGACTGATTCAATCATGGATAGATTTAAAACCATGTCTGTTAATGGTATTTGAGAACTTCAGATAAGAGTCAATTCTGTCCAATATACAGCTGTGCTTGGCCATCATTGCCATCCAGATACGATAAAGGCTACATAGAAAAGGTTTGCAATGATCAAGAATGAATTAATTTAAGTGGGTTTTGCATGCAGACATTACTCTTGTAATGTTATGGAGTCAGTTCTAGAAAGCAAGCTGTTGCTTGGCTGTGGGCGATTCCAATATGCATCATGGACCATGTGTCATAAAAAAAAAACCATGTGTGGGCAGCCAGCTTTACAGTTATAGATGGTATCATTTTATATGATGACCGCAAAGATAAAATATGGAAACAAGTTTCTGCAATTAATTAAATTGCCTTTGCTGGCATTATATAAAGAAAAAAGTAGGCCTGCACAAAGGAAATGAACCTTTTGATGCTGAGTGATAAAACAATAACAATTACAATGTTCACAGCAGGTGTTCTAACCTTCCAAATAGACACAGTAGAGTAAGAACAATATACCTTATTTACACAGACTGATTTCTGAACACATTTATTGTAGTTCAAAGACACATTAATGTCAATGTTATTTCTGCTGAGCTCGGTTATACACTCAGACACAACAAAAATATTTAGCTCCAAGAAAAGAGGGACAGAGTGATTTGGGCCCAAAATAGGGACTGTTCCTTCTAAATAGGGACAGTTTGGAGGTATGGGAAAAGGAATCTCCAGAATCCTACTGGTAAATTCCACAAATACTGATTTGCTGCTAAAGAAGTAAAAATAAAGGCAAGTATATATATTTTTACTTTATTTTTATGTAATGCACTTCGTAACAGGAATGGTAATAAAATATGATTTTCCATTTATACATAACATTGCTTGTCTCCAATGTCTGATGCACAAATATTAACTACTAACATGAGGTGTAAGCATGCCCCTCCTAATGAGTAAATAATGAGTCACGCTTAAGCTGTATAAATACATGCAATAAAAATAGCTGTACAAGAATAACAAGGAATGTGTATAACACGATGCAGTAAGGATTCTTTATTTTAAAGAATGAATATAAGAAATTACCACTTTAGAACAAACTTGAGCATGTAAAGATGTACGGCTTTATTTTTAGCAGAAAGTTTCTTTATCAACAACAGTCAGAATTGTGCATCGCTAATGCATAAAAAAAAATCAAAACAAAAAATAAATAAAATAATCTATAAATTTTTCATATTATTTCATATTTCTGGATACACTTTTAAGGTATTTAAGGTTTTTATATTGTAGCATTGTCAAAGAAGGATTACAGAAAGGAGTGACTTGGCAGGACCCCCAGGTCCCCGTCGCTCCAAGGTGGTAAAACATTGAGAATCAGGAGAAGGGAGTTAACAAGCAACAAGGATTTTTGGATAAACTTTTAAAGTGTTTTCATATTATGAAAAATATTTTAATTTTGCAATACTTTTATTTTATTTTTAAGTTAACATTTTTTTACATTTATTTTGTAATAATAATTAAAAAAAAAGTTTATCCAAATATATTGAATCGTTTGAAAAGCAAGCCTCCCAACAGTACAGTCCTTATTTTAAGGGCCTGTCCTGCCATCCTACTTTAGATGTGGGACACCAAGGAAATGTGCGCTGCCAGCAAGCACAGCGCAAGCACATCATTAGATGCTGTGCAGAGGGCACTAGGACCATGCAGGGCCCGTCGACTGCCCCTTTTCTGAGCGGACTTGACTCTTATGGGTGTCACTAGTGACGCAGCGGTCATGTAACTGGCGATGCCCCTCAGAGCCCAATCACTCATTCCAATTTTATCCCTGCCCGATTGTTGGGTAGTATGGAAAAGCTTATTCAAAAATAGCAATCTAAGGCCTTACTCCATACACAGTTCTGTATTAGGCTCTGTCAACAATGAATGGATCTTGGTAAAGGAGGAAGTTGCATGCATCCTTTTTACAGTGTTGATCCAAGGACAGTGCTATTATAAAACTCTGTAGTTATTATCCATTCTGAGCAGGAATCACTATCTGCATTACAACCTATGCAATTACACAAAGTTGTCATGTGCTTAGAGGGTCCTTTTAAATATAAGTAGAAATTCATTTATTTTTTTTCCAGGTACTAAATTCAGATTATACAAATTTATATATCTAACTTTTTTATTTAAATAAAAAAATAGTATTAAACCATGAAAAAAGATCTAACAAAACAAAATTAAAAAGTAAAATATATAAACTTGTATACATGAATAGAAAATGAATGATATGAAGGACAATCAACACACTAAATTTGACTGTAATAAGGCAGTTTATAATGGAACATGCTACCTTTTGGAAGGTTGCCTCGGTGTAAACGGCAGTTAAATGTCCTGTTTTATCATTTGGCAGCAAAGACCAAACACAGATAATTTCACATTTAATAATTGTTGGTTTAGCAGAGCAAACACAGAACTGCACTTTGACTTTCCCAGACGGCCCTGCTGCCCTTCAAGCAGAGGGTGAATGGAGAGAAATGGTTATCAACACTGTTTAATGAAAACTTCCTTAGTGTGTACACAAACAGTATCCTATGTTAATAAGTGTAAACATTGCGCTACGCACGCACACAGCCAGAATGAAGCTAAGTTCACAATATATACAGATCTGCAGTACTTTGGCCATAATCAGTGTGTTTATTTCTGCTGTGATGAAGAGACACAAAACATGACCATGCCTTATTTTAACATGCATTTTAACAAGTTTAACCACACATGTCATCCGTATTTATGATTAGTACAAATTATTGAAACGGTCTTCTCTAACCATATTATGTATCAAAATGTACCCGCTAATTTACCACCAGTTTTACTAAACTCACATTCCCCTAGAATTTGCATACAGCAAATCAGACACCATAAGGACACTCATTTTCAAGTCATTATCCATTTCATTCTGACAACTGCTAGTCTAGGTTAATTGCTAAATGATCCAATACATGCTTGTGTCACTTTACCAATACTCAATACTCATGCACAGTTCTATGAAATTAATATGAAATCTCCTCACACCTACCCTACATTTCATGCAAAACCAAGATTACCGATACCATGTATTTGGTTAGTTGTTCACGAATATCCTGTTCTTAAAGGGACACTATAGTCACCAGAACAACTACAGCTTAATGTAGTTGTTCTAGTGAGTATAATCATCATATGCAGGCATTTTTATGCAAACACTGCCTGTTCAGAGAAAAGGCAGTGTTTACATTGCCCCTAGGGACACCTCCAAGTGACCACTCCTCAGATGGCCACTGGAGGTGCTACCTGGTTCAGTGCTGCACAGTAGACAGCACTGCCATTCAGCGTCTCCACGCTCTGCATGGAGATGCTGAATTTTCCTCATAGAGATGCATTGATTCAGTGCATCTCTATGAGGAGGTGCTGATTGGCCAAAATGGTGTTTGGCCCCACCCCCTTACCAATTTTATCCAATCCGATGTTTTCCTCATGGGAAAGAATTGGATTGGCTAAAAATCTGCAATTCTGATGATGTCACCAAGGGGGCGGGGCCAGACCCGCGCAACACTGGAAATAAAGTGAGTTTTACTACCTTTTAAGGGGGCAAGCCACCTAAATGGTGGGTTTTGCACTATAGGGTCAGGAATACATGGTTGTGTTCCTGACCCTATAGTGTTCCTTTAACTCCCTACCTCTAATTCCCATATTTTCAACATGTCATTCTTGAATACATGTCTTAAATGAATACTCCACTCCCATAAAGTTTCCTAAATGTCTCTTCTTTCTTATTTTATAAAGTGCCGATTTCAAGTGAAAATACTTTCCTAACTTGCTTTGTGCAATCACTCAAAGCGCATGTGAGGGCTTCTGATAGAAAAGCAAACAATGTTCCTAGGAGAAGCATTCTGTTGGTGTAGATTGCTGCACATGTGCCAAAGGACCCAATTGCTTCTCTATGAGAAGCTTTGAATTGGCTGAGAAGGCCATCACTATGGACGACCTCCTGGGACAAGAGAAGAGCTTAGTCGCGGAGATTTTTGCTTCGAAATTAGAAGCAAGTAACAGATTTCTTAAGGAACTATGGAGTGAGGCTGAATCTAAATCAACTTTTCAACACAACGCTGGAATGTTCTCTTAAATCTATCCCTTTTTCTAATTAAAAAAGCAGGCTTCTCAGACTAAGTTAATGTTAAAGTATGCTTGAAAGATCAATATATCAATTAGTAAAACACTAGACCAAGTCAGCTAGACAAAAGAAGAATGCCTTGGTAAAAACATCAAAAGCAGATTTATTTCAGCATCTTCCAAGCAGAGGTATAATTCCATCTGTACAATAGGATGCAGTCTAGATAAAAATATGGAATATTCTGAATATAAATATAAAATAAGTAGTTCACTAGTCAGGGATAAAAAAAAAATAATTAAATTATAAAGCACCTTTTTAACCCTTTTCGTGGAATTGTGTATTTTTAATTGTTTACTACTTCTGGCAGTAAACACACAACACTTTTCTGCATCACACAATAGACGTATGTATTTTTATATTGTAGTCGAAGAGCTAGACAGACTACATTTTTACTCTGATAATTAACACAAAGAAACATCATGCATGCTTATTTACAAAGGGATCAGCTCTCAGTACCTTTACAGCTTTCAAAGCCTTTCAGTAGCACACATGTACAAATAAAGGACAGGTGGTAGTCAGGGAAGAAGAAGTAATGAGAGAACTATAAAACATATGAATTTAAAAAAGATTGAGCTATGTGTTTCACTATAGCCTTCTCACTTACAGCCATGTGCATATGTGCCTTCTATTCCCCATGTTGTACTGTCTACATACAGATTTACACAATAAATTGGGATTTCAATATTGCACATACTTTGGAATCAAGTAGTGATAAATCAAATCTGGTGAAAAATCCCAACTTTGTATGGGTCAACTCAGCATTATTATTATTATTTTATTATTTACATAGCGCCAGCAAATTCCATAACGCTGTACAATGGGATTGAGTAGTAAACACAAATTCTCAAGATTTGCTGCTGAATAACACCAGGTTTGCTGATGAGCATGGGGTAAGAGTAAAATTAGGAGCCAATACTTAGTCTCGTTGTATTGAGGGTCAACAGAGGTTGGATACTAGGTGTCTGTTAAATGTCATTAGTTCTTGAACTACTTCTACTGACATGCAGAGAAGGTCTTTGATAGGTCTAATGGCAATTTATAAAATTAGTTGTGGAGAGGTTTGGATTCCCTTTTGAATTTATCACAGTTGGTATGGTATTATATAGTCACTCTTTGGCTATAGTTTTCTGGATTTACTTCACATTACTCATTAATAGCACACATTGGGATGCCTACTATATCCTTATTTATTATTTTCCTGGAACCCTTGGGAAAAAAATTAGGCAGTTCGTGAGAATGGCACAGAACACAGCCTTTTTTTTATTGGAAAATTATATTATTTTGATGCTTACTAATACTCAGATTTCCCTTCTTAACCTTTTGGCATTGTTTTAACTTTTGGTACCTATCCTACTATCAAACTATTATTACATTTCAAATGTATTATTAAACTTAGTACCTAAAAAGAAAACCCAAGCCCTTCCTCTCAATATGCATTCACAACAAATTGAACAGCTACAACACTACTTTGCATTTGAGTGGAGGAATGATTATTTGATCTATCTGAAATTGCCCCTGCCCTATCTGAACAAAACCATGTTCCATTGATTGATTTCTTTAACCAGAACTTTTCCATGTGAAAAGATACAAAGTTGTTGCTGGCTCCAATTGTCAGTCATGATAGGAGGGGTAGGAGTACCTAACATGTTAGCATGTTATAGAGCCGCATTACTAGCACACATGATCAATTTATATGCATTCTAGGTTATTTGGGGTAGGTGGACATAAAGAAGAATCAAATATCTCTCTCATTGATTACATGTGGACTTTTTACTCCCGACACAGGTGATATTATGCTCTATTCCCAACCACAGAGGTATATAGGTCCTTTTGTAAATAGGCTATGCAATCCTGAAGACTTCAAACCCTTCACTGTTGCTATGCTATAAGGTTCTGCTGATTGTCAATTCCCACCAATCGACTGGGGCTGTGACTTGTATAGTATTATGACTTTACCTCCTTCTGTATGGAGGGTCACAATTGTGATTTCTAGGACAACATTTTGAAGTTGAAGTATCATAACTTTCTGATGTTTACCCAATTTGAATTTTTTATATATATATATAGATTATTGACAGTATTCCAGGTCATCACCTGATCTTTTACAAATTTCTTGATTTTGCATGTTTTAATTTCTTTTTCATAATCACTTTTTTTTTATTGATATGGGAATCCAATTCTCCAATCCAATTTATTAACCTCATCCAAAATCATTACTGATTGATTTAAATGATCAATTTTAATTTCTAGGAGAGTTAATCTGTCTTGTTAGATATCGTAATAGAATCTTCATCTTAAAGGACCACTCTAGGCACCCAGACCACTTCAGCTTAATGAAGTGATCTGGGTGCCAGGTCTCTCTAGGATTAACCCTTTTTTTTTTTATAAACATAGCAGTTTCACAGAAACTGCTATGTTTATATTAAGGTTAATCCAGCCTCTAAAGCCTCCAGTGGCTGTCTCATTGACAGCCGCTAGAAACGTTTGCGTGCTTCTCACAGAAAAATCACAGTGAGAAGACACAACGTCCATAAGAAAGCATTATGAATGCTTTACTATGAGACAGGCTGAATGCGCGCGCAGCTCCTGCCGCGCATGCGCATTCAGCCGAAGAGGAGGCGGAGAGCTCCCCGCCCGGCGCTGGAAAAAAAAAGGTAAGATTTAACCCTTTCCTCGCCATCCAGCCCGGCGGGAGGGGGACCCTGAGGGTGGGGGCACCCTCAGGGCACTATAGTGCCAGGAAAACGAGTATGTTTTCCTGGCACTATAGTGGTCCTTTAAGTTATGTAATAAACATCTTGTGCTTCAAGCCCTTCCCTCTTAAAATCCCTCTCCAAGAAGATTGGAAGTTTATTAGATTTTAAGCCTCTATTGATAAAACCATTATCCAAATATTTTTGTAATAAGATAGTATCCCACCAATCAGCTGCTTCTTGTTTTAAGAGTTTTCAATGGTTTTAAATAAACAGTAGTTCAACAATAGTTTTAGTATTCATCCCAAAATTACCATTATTATGATCTCTTGAAAAGATATCATGTCTCCAATTAAGATGTTCAGAGATACTGCTTAGAGTCATATACATTGTGGGGCTATATACATGCCCAGAGACCAATTGGTGCAACATTCTTGTCTTGAAAAAGTCTGACAGAGGTCAAAATGCGTAGACATTTTTGTCACACTGATAGCAGTTCACTTCATGTGTTGAACACTGTTATTCGGACAATATCTTACTGCAGCTTATACTCATCTTGGGATTTATCTTGGTAATGGTGGATTAACCTCACTTTTGCGATACTATTGGTGAAATACTTGGATTGTACAATATTCCCCTCTGCATGTATTTGTGGTTTCATATGCTCCAACGTTGTGAAGAATTGCCCAAGTGACTGTTTACCCTTTTAACCCATCGGCACATTAAGCCAGCTAAGCAATCATTACCTGGTCTAATTTTGTTTAGTTTGTCTTTTAGTGTATTGCTGTTTTACTACCATATTTCCCAAAAAATAAGACCAGGTCATATATAAATTTTTGCTCCAAAAGACACATTAGGGCTCATTTTCAGCAGATGTCTTATTTTTTCATGTACAAATATCTACATTTATTTATGTACAAAAATCTCTTTCTCCCCTAGCTCCCCTCTATGTGTCCGTCTCCCCTAGCCCCCACCATTAGTCCCATTACCTCCCTCCCCTCCAGTATCAGTTTGTGGCTACCGCAGTACCCGCCTGAAAGTGTTCTCTCACTGAGCACTTCCTGTCAGCTGCAGCGATCGGCAGGAGGGGAGCAGCACAGCACAGTGCTCCCCTCCTGCTCGTCACTCAGCAATTGCAGGGCCTCGGCTAGTGCGACTGTGCACCGGCCCTGAAGCTAAGCTGGTGGCCCCTGGTCAGGTCGGCAGGGCGTCCGGGCCCCCTGGAGTGACAAACGCTGTCGCAGGGGTCGCAGCTGTAGGTACGTTATAGCGTCAAAATATTGTTTCCTGTACTAAATGCATCCATCCAGCTGACAATTTAATTTGGGCTTATTTTGGGGATTGGGCTAATATTACAAGCATTCTGAAAAATCATGCTAGGGCTTATTTTGTGGTTAGGTTTTATGTTCTGGGAAATACAGTGTGTATACATACACACACACACATACAGTGTTGCCTGCTACAATATTTATGCTGCTACAATTGTATACTATTTAGGAGTTACCGATGTTGCCAGATCACACATGCCATTTTAATCTTATTAGCTAATAAACGTCATGTCATTTTAGTACAATTCTATTTTATAGTTTCTTGATATTCTTTATTGTGTTAGTTACCCACATTATATAAGATACGCAACTTACATTTCGTAATGATTGTGTTATGTGACTTTAGCCAGTGTTTTTATTTAATATTTTTCAGGGAACTTACGATCTCCCTTGTAATACAGAGGCATAGCAGGTCTCATATACCCGTGTTGGCATACAAGAGAACAGGTTGGTCTTGTGCCAGGAGTAATACCAATACTCATGGATACCAATGCCGGTGATCGGCCCCCCGTGGCCACCCTGGTTGCAAGGCCGTTGTTCCTTTCACTGTTAAAGGCTGCGTGTTGTGACTAGGTGGCCTAAAGTGTATGCCTTTCCCATTTTGTTATGGCTGTATCACAGGCGTAAATGACTCTTGTCTTTTGTGCGTGCCTGCCTAGTACCTCTTGTAGCGCTGGGTTTGCAATCCTTCTCACCTGCAGTGATTCGACTCCTCAACCTAACAGCCCTTAAGCTTGTGGTATACTGCGGATGTGTGTTTAATATTATTACTTTTAGTTTTTGATTAGTGTGTGGGGATCTTTTTTTAAATTTTGCATCCCTTCTAATCCAGCAATGTTTTTATGGCATGATATTTCCAATTCTCTTTCCTTTTACGATAGGGCCTTCAGGTCCCATGTATTTTGGCCACTAAATGCCTCATTGCTTTGAATTTAAAAGTAACTTTTGCCCTGTGGAGTACAAATTAATAAATCAACTGTGCATCAATAACACTTATAAGCATATTTCGGTGCCATAACAAAATATATTTGGGTGTTTTAATAGTTTTGTTTAAATAAAAGTACTTTAACATACAGTCCTTGAAGGTTTTTTATTATATGTTATTTATTACCGGCTTCCTTTTTCCCCCCTGCAAATCCAAGGTGGAGATTATACCACTAGAGCTTCATACCACCAGAACAGGTCCTTGCTCTGGATTCTGTAAGTAGGATATTTTAGATTTTTTATGTACCATTTGCTTTTATATTGCACTGTTGGGTCTCTTCTTTTTTTCACATTACTACCATCTGACATTGAGATCATAAACCCTTTCAGACTACGCCTATTTCCCAAAATGCATTTTATACTGTTTACGCACGATACAGCAGAGCTCTAAGCAGCTCTATAAAGTGTGAGTATTTTCTTGGCATTTTTTCTATATATAATACTGTATTCATTAATTAATTAATTTATTAAGTTAGTCACAGTGTTCCTTCTGGGCATATTTTGCCATTGCTTGGTTTTTGCATTTCTTATTTTGTTACAAGGTAGTGGGGAACTTATTGTATTTATGGTAAATGTCCGGATTAACAGGTACTGAAATTGTGTGAAACTTGTTGTACAAGTTGTAACGACTTTTACAATGAAAGATCAGTTTCATTCAATCAATACCCAGTTTAACTTGCATAACAACACACGTACTTGCACTGTTACGTAGACTTAGTTAAATGCCATACCTTATTAAGTCATAGTTAATTAAAAACCAGAGACTGGTATTAAGAAGCAACTAGCTATACTAAGTATCTGGCTCTACTCCTAAATTAAAAAGAAAAATAAATAAATTAGGATTGATTAGAATGATTGCAGCAACTACCTCTACTTAAACAAAATATTCATATAAAATAATTTTTTCACTTTTTCTCCTCTTTCAGCTGTGTTTTTAGATTTTTAGTCAACTACCAGGATCCTCTACATCAATTGTCCTATATAAAATGAGCTTGGCAACACAATCTTAAGAACACTATCTTGAAGACAGCATTGAAAGTCATGTTTCAGTGTTTGCAGATGACACAAAACTTTGTAAAATAATACAATGTGAGCAAGATATAACTTTGCTTCAGAGGGATTTAGATAGACCGGGGGACTGGGCACTCAAATGGCAGATGAAATTTAATGAGGAAAAATGCAAAGTTATGCACTTCGGCGTAAAGAATACACAAGCAACGTATACCCTTAATGGAAGCGAATTAGGGATAACAACACACGAAAAGGACTTGGGAATTGTTATAGACAACAAACTATGCAACAATGTGCAATGTCAATCAGCAGTGGCCAAGGCCAGTAAGGTATTGTCATGAATGAAAAAGGGCATTCATTCTCGGGACGAGAATATCATTTTGCCTCTTTATAAATCACTGGTAAGACCACATATTGAATATGCTGTGCAATTTTGGACACCTGTTCTAAAGAAGGATATTATGGCACTAGAAAAAGTGCAGAGGCGGGCTACAAAATTAATAAAAGGAATGGAACATATCAGCTATGAAGAAAGGTTAACAAATTTAAACCTATTGAGTTTACAAAAATGTCGCCTGAGAGGGGATATGATAACATTATACAAATATATTCTGGGCCAATACAAACCATTGTGTGGAAATCTATTCACAAAGACTTTACATAGGACACGAAGCCATGCGTTTAGACTGGAAGATAGAAGATTTCGTCTAAGGCAAAGGAAAGGTTTTTTTACTGTAAGAACAATCAGGATGTGGAATTCTCTGCCTGAAGAAGTGGTTTTATCAGAGTCCATACAGATGTTCAAACAGCTACTAGATGCATACTTGCAAAAACAGAATATTGAAGGATATAATCTTTCAATGTAGGGTAATAACTGCTTTATCCAAGGATACATCTGACTGCCATTCTGGGGTCAAGAAGGAATTTTTTTCCTAGCTTGTTGCAAAATTGTGCTTCAAACTGGTTTTTTTTGCCTTCTTTTGGATCAACAGCAAAAAACAAATTTGCGGAAGGCTGAACTTGATGGACGCAAGTCTCTTTTCAGCTATGTAACTATTCTATAAAACAATTTACATAGGAATCACGTTGGCCAAGATTGATGACTGACATATATACATAGGGGTCAGTGAATGGCTACAACATACTACTTGAGTCTGAAGCACAATTTGGCAAATCTCCCCTATGATCCTTCTCCAAAATCGCACTTAATTCCTTCGAGCCTCATCACTTAACCTTATGGCTGACCAAGCAAAATGGGGAGGTAAGTCAGTTTGTGGTGATTTTGCATGATGCACTGTGGACTCTCACCTTGCTCCAATTGCTTTTTCAACCTTATATTATACTTTTATTTACTTCTGTCCCTTTTTGTCTCCATCTCTTCACAGTCTCGCTTAAACTCCATCCCATGTCATCTGTCACCTATATATATACCCTATATATGTCAACTTCCCCCATCTTGATGTCACTTTCCACCCAATTCTCTACTTCCTCTGCTGGTCTAGCAGCCACTGCTGAGTTGTATTTTCCTCCTCCTCACCACCCCCTCTGCTGTATCATCTACCATTCAGTTTCGTCCAACTCGGCCATGCAAGTCCATCATGGGTGAAATGTGAATAATGATCTTTGAGAGGGTAAGTGGGCATGAGTTATCAGTAAACAGAGAGCAGCCAGTGGCTGCTCACTATTAAAAAAGTCCCTGCAGGCCCTAAATGAAAATGGGCGGTGGGTGGGAACCTATTGTTCTCCTCCCCGGCCCCCACCCATGAGCAGCGGGTGGGGGCCCTAAATGAAAATGGGGGACGGGGACTATTGTCCTCTCCCCAGCCCTCACCCATGAACGGCAGGTGGGGGTCCTAAATGAAAATGGAGGGGGGGTACCTATTGTCACTCATGAATGTGGGCCGGGAGGGGTACAATAGGTCCCCCCCATTTTTATTTAGGGCCCCCACCCGCTCCATCTCTCACTCACATCAGGTAAGTTAGAGATGGAGGGGGCAGCTTAAGTTTAGGAAAGTGAGCGATGGGGGGGAGGGGGGAGACAGCCTACAGATTAGGTAAGTAAGGGATGGGAGGGAAGACAGCCTATAGATCAGGTACGTGAGGGATGGGGGGGGAGACAGCCTATATGAAGGGTCAGCAAGGAGCAGGAAGGTAAAGTAAGAGAAGAAGCAGAAAGGAGAAGAAACAGAAATTAGCAGAAAGGGGCAGCAAGGAGCTGGAAGGGACTGCAAGGAGCACACAAGGTAAAGTAGGAGAAGGAGCACAAAGGAACAGAAATGAGCAGGAAGGGTCAGCAAGAAGAAGTAAGGGTCAGCAAGGAGCTGGAAGGTAAAGCAGCACAAATGTAAAGTAGAAGGAGCAGAAAAGGGTCAGCAAGGAGCTGGAAAGGGCAGCAAGGAGCAGTAAGGGACAAAGGTAAAGTAGGAGAAGGAACAGAAATGAGCAGGAAGGGACATCTAGGAGCAGGAAGTGTCAGCAATGAGCTGGAAGGGGCAGAAGGAGCACAGACGTAAAGTAGGAGAAGGAGCGGAAATTAGCAGGAAGGGTCAGCAAGGAGCAGGAATGGTCTGCAAGGAGCAGGAAGGGTCTGCAAAGAGCAGAAAGGGACAGAAGGAGCACAAAGGTAAAGTAGGAGAAGGAGCAGAAAGGGATCAGAAAGAGAAAGGAGCAGAAGGGCACAAAATAAGCAGAAAGGTAAAGGAGCAGAAGGAGCCAAGGAGAGAAGACAGTGTCAGAAGAAAAAGAAGACTGTGTCAAATGAAGGAGAAGAAAAGGAGATTGGAGCAGGAAGGACAAGTGAAGTGAACCCTCCACTTTATTCTGGACACCACATCATAAGGCTTTGGTACCTCGGCATGGCAGGGAAACCTTGGACCTTCTCATCTCCCCAGGTAAAAAAACATTAAGTGTTAATGTGTTCACTTTTATTTACTGAGTGTCAGGAAGCACAGAGTGCCGCTGGGTAGGGGTGTCGCTGATTGGCTAGAGCAGTCAGCTGGCACTCCCCATTCATAAAAAAGTAAAACATTTTTATGAACCAGGAACTAGCGATTGGCTTAGAGCGTCAACTGACCACGCTAGCCAATCTGCAGCACCCAGGCCTGACGTCAATCTGCACTTCCTGACACTCCGTTTTCAGAAGCTGAATACCACTGAGCGACCTGGAGCTGGAGGAAGCCATTGTGGTTAAACCATTTGAGAGTGGTTTAACCCCTTAAGGGAAAGACAGCACCCAGGGGCTTCCTGGCATTTTCATTAAGATTAAGTTGTTATGGTGACCAGAATGTTCCTTTAATTTCCTGACACCATAGTTGTGAAAACGCTATTCACCCTGGCTTTATGTGATAATAACTATGCCCCTTCCCTCTCATGTCAAAAAGGGAACAAGCATGGATGTCATTATAATTATGCCCCCCCTCCCCCACCCCCCCTGGAAAAATTCCTGCGGACGCCCATGCCTAAACCTATCTTAATCTAGATTATCACTTGCCACAAGCACAAGAACAAACAGCTAACCACAATAAGTATGGGTTTGCTACATGAAGATCTAATCGGCGAATTTCACAGAACACTAAGTTACTGTATCAATGGACAGAAAAACTGCAATTTTCACTCAACCAGGAATTGGCAACTATTCATAGAATGTAACTATGTGCATTGTTAGTTGACGACTTTTTGTATATATAAAAAAATATACCTAAAACATTTGAAACATACACACCTAAATACACATAGCTTATCAGAGATCATACGTCTTTCTTTGTTAAAGGACCACTATAGTGCCAAGAAAACATACTTGTTTTCCTGGCACTATAGTGCCCTGAGGGTGCCCCACCCTCAGAGTCCTCCTCCCGCCGGGCTCTGGGGGGAGGAAGGTGTTAAACTTACCTCTTTCTCCAGCGCCGGGCAGGGAGCTCTCCTCCTCCTCCCCTCCTCTTCCGCTGAATGCGCATGCGTGGCAGGAGCTGCGCACGCATTCAGCCAGTCCATAGGAAAGCATTCACAATGCTTTCCTATGGCTGGCGTCTTCTCACTGTGAAAATCACAGTGAGAAGGGCGGAAGCCCTCTAGCGGTTGTCAATGAGACAGTCACTAGAGGCTGGATTAACCCATTTATAAACATAGCAGTTTATCTGAAACTGCTATGTTTATAGAAAAAAGGGTTAGACCTAGCTGGACCAGGCATCCAGACCGCCTCATTAAGCTGAAGTGGTCTGGGTGCCTATAGTGGTCCTTTAAACTTTGTATTTGTTGTGAACAGAAAACAAACATGCTTGCAATGCTCCAACAGCAGAAACAAGTATATCAAAACAGTGTGTGTCAGTCGAAATATTAACACATTTTTTTTAGTAACATCAAAATAAAATAAAACTGGCTAGATATTTAGTAAGGGTTAAGGCTAAATAGTGACTGGTGAGGAACCTTTGACAAAAGGTACAGTATAGGTATGCTACTGCTAGACTGGCTTGACAAGTAGAGTTTAAGTAAATAGTTCTTAGACATGATAGGCTGTCCATTTGTGAAATTAACATTTTGAGCATAAGTTTCTGAAAAGACAAAACTAAGCAATCAATAAGTCAAAGTAACCAGAAAAAAAAACTGATAAGAAAAAAAAAGAAAAGAAAGAAAAATAGTAAAACAAAATGTGGTACAATAAGGAAAGACCATTGGGTCCCATATGAAGTATAAGGGAGGTGGTGGAAACGTAGCTACCACTAGGATTGATGCTTTGCACCATGGAAAAGTGTTCCAGGCCTCATGATACGGTCATCCAATTCCTTCTGCAGGTAAGGCACCGTCCAGCAAACCTTCTGATCGCTCCCCACTTTGTGGCCCTAGAGGAGCAGAGCCCTCATTGTTAGTGCTGTTCGGTTTCATTTTGTAATGCACGCCACTGCCGATAGTGTGGCTTAAACTGTGGACTCCATCTTTGAGTGAACTGAAGAGAAGGAGCAGGATCAGCTAACTGCAGGGCCTTTGACTAAGTGCCGAGCCTCTCTCTTGCAGGGGACACACCACCTCACTGGAGATGTAGACAAGTTGAGCCTGCTGAGAGAAGTCAGCAGTGGATTTCTTGTGTGTGAGGCTTTGCGCTCTGCTTTGCCCAGGACACTTCAAAGATTCTATCCAGCCTGGACATGTTATAAAGTTAAGGGCCATTTTGAGCTAGCGACACTTTTCTGTGGCACTATCTGTTGTTCTAACTCCGTTTTTACAGGGCCCAATGCAAATTGAAGTGCTGGTATATCCTTTAGCGGCGGTTGGGTGGGGAGGAGAGATTGAAGGGAAGACCTCAAAATTAAGTTGCAGCAGCATACCGAGGGAACGGGCGTCAACTTCACATCTGGTATGTGATTAGGCCTCTCGTAGGCCACAGGTCTGCCCTTGACTGAAGCTGCCTATCTCGATCAGAAAAAAAGGGAAATCAGTTGTCCTGGTATTCTCTGGTCTCTGGGATACTTCAGCAGGTTTATTTCAGAGTTTAATTCGGTAATTAGAGCCATTACAGAGCTTTTCCTTGTGAAGCTATCAAGATGTTCGACCGGTCAGTGCGGCTGTGAGGCTCCACCCCCACAATGTTACTTCTAAATTATGCTGGCCAAATCTTTAGACAATATACAATTTTAGGAGACACTCTAGGCTGAAGTTAATCTCCATTATTGTAATGGATTATATAGATCAGAGATATAAACCTACCAGCCTGCCATATTTCTGAACCCCTAACTACCTACTCGAGACTCATGAATGGAAGTAGTTGGCAGCTGAATTACCAAACTATCTACTCACAAACGAAACATTTGGATATAGACATGGACACCTGACCTTGGTACATGACATTGGACAACTCTAGTAATTGAGCTTCATCCACCTCTAATGAAGCATGGCTGAACAGCAGTTCAAACTGCATTTCTGATGGGACTTTCCACTGAGGATCATCCACACAGCTAATGTGCTATATGTGTGAAATCACTAAACTACATATTCCCGCTCTCCATCTGTGAGCTGGACCTTAAGTGGACAGTTCTGTCAGAAGAAAGAGCCAAAATTCCTAGGACGCTAGTTGACTAAATTCAGTTTTACAGATTCAGATGCATGTCAGCTCAACATTTTAAATTCCCCCCTTCCTCCCACCCCTCCCCCAAAATAAACCCAAGAAAAAAAAGGCAGGCACTCAGTACTCACCCTGCTCATTGTGCATTTCCCATGTAAGAGGTTGTTAGTAGACTGATAAGATGTGGTCTCTTCCACTTCCTGCCCATACACACATACACTGGAGGATGTTGGCTGGCACAGCGTTTTACACCCACTCTAACTATATCTGCAGCTCTAAAAACAAGCGCAACAGACTGACCGGACTACTGAAGAAAGTGGTCAATACTGGTCTATGTATGGATATGTTTGTCTTGGAGTATGACTCTGTGTGTGATCGGAATATGGATCTTTGCAATCTGTGCAGTGAGCACTGCTCAGAGCAGGAAGTGGATCAGTCAACCATTAATGTTTCTGCTGTTTCTACTTAAATGGATACTGTAGGCACCATAACTGCTTCATGTCACTTATGTTGTAATAGTGTCTGAAGTCCCCTGGTACTGTTTTTTCTACAGTGCTCTTTAAACACCATGTAGTTATCAGCAATTCAATTTTTCACATATGACAAATGAAACTGCTGACTAAGCTGCTGCTCTCAGCTTACTGGTAGCTCCACTTACAGTTTACAAATTTATGAGTTCATCTGTCAAATGCAATGAAGCTGAGACTTCCTCACAGTAAACTGTGGAACCCAGTCAGGGGAAGTAGGGATTTGTATAGTATGGAGAGTAGTACATAGTCCTCCTGTGACCTATTGCTGAAGAGATATTTGCAAATCGCTGTGGTTATAACTGGATTTGTAACGGAGCCAGGGAAAGCTAACCATTTTGCAAAGGGGCGACCAAGCAGCATATTTGTTATGGTAGTGCAGTGTCTCATTATAGCTAGGTAGACATCACTTGGTGTTCATGCAGCTGTGCTCTCCAGCAATGTATAGTGTATTCTATTAGAATGTAAGGAATTTGACTACACTAAACACTCCCTGAAGAAAAGCACAAGAAACCATTTAAATTAATATATACATTTGTTGGTGAATTCACTAGAAAAATAGATGACATTTTATTATTTAACTAGAGTAGGGTTGTACATGCAATGGAGCTTCTAAAAATGTATTTTAATGTTATTCTTACTTTTGTTTGATATAAGATTAAGTTAGCTCCTCAAACACTTGGTATATCCTTTAATATCCGTGAAAAGTGCTGTATGTGTCTTGTAATAGTGGAGCGCTTAAGCAAAAATATAATGTAATTCACTATAAATTAGTATTTAAAAAATACTAAAACAAAACCATAGGTTAGGAGAAAGTCAAGGCAAGCTGTCCTTGACACAATTGATTTCTAGAACAACCACTATATGAAAGGGAGTTTTCGTTCTGGCAGTTAGGTCTACAATGACAAAAAAAACAAAAAAACAAAAACCGAGTCACACCATTTAAAGCTATTTTGCTGTATTTAAGTGGGAAACTCCCTGGAGCAACAAAGCACTTTAGATTAGATAGATTTTGGCCCAACTAATACATTTTTTTTCAACTGGGGAGCATAATTCCATCTTGCTTGTTAGTTACTATACCTGCATACAGCTTCCTTCATGTCCCTACCTCTAACAGAAATGAGAAGGTGCACAGAGAAATTTAAATACTGCTAATCAGACACTCCCTCCTACAAAGTGCATTAAAGGGACACTATAGGCACCCAGATCATTTCAGCTCATTGGAGTGGTCTAGGTGCACTGCCCCTGTATGTATAACATTGCAATTCCAAAGAAACTGCAATGTTTACATTGCAGCACTAAGTCTGCCTTCAGTGGATGTCTACCAGACAGCCACTGGAGGCGCTTCCTGGATCCTAAATAACTTTTGGTCCTGTAACGGACGCTGGACGTCATCATGCTCTGCATGAGCTATTTCCCCCTATGGGGAGGCCAAACACGCGTGCGCCACTCGTTGTGCATTCGCATTAGCCCCCGCTCGTCAAGGGACATCGGTGGAGGCAGTGCCGTGACCCAACTCTGAGGGACATCAACGCTGGGAGTGTTTTAAAGCGGCACTGTCATGCCGAATTCTGTTTTTTTTTTTTAACCCCTCTCCCGCCTCCACTACATCCAATTGACTCACTAGTCACCCCCAAATGCCCCTAAACCCCCAGCATTACCTATTTTTTAATCCTTATTTTCTGCCCCGATCTATATTCAGGGCGCAGCCATCTTTGTGTGGGTAGGTGAAGTCCCTCAGGGACACGTCATCAGCCCACACTAGGCAGACACTGAGATTCCCGCACATGCCCAGTGAAACACCTGGACATGCGAACGGGAATTTCAGCTATTCATTCATTCATCAGACAGACGAATGAGTGAATAGAAAGATCAGCCGAACAAACAAACACAATGTATCAGTGTTAGTTTGTTCGTGCAGGTTATTACAAGGAGGGAGCTACCGGCATGCAGCTCCCTCCTTGTAATATGTAACTATAGAAGCGGCAGGGAGCAGTGCTCCCCACCACTTCATAAGCCCCCCCAGGTCCCCCTCTCACTCTATGGGGGTCAATATGACCCCCATAATAGCACAAGGGAGATTAAAATCTCCCCAATGCCCCTACTCGCTATACCGCGAGTAGGGGCATGTCCACTAAACAGTGAGCAGCCTGTGGCTGCGCACTGTAAAAAAAAACAACTATTGGCCCCTAAACAGTGAGAATGAGGGGGGGGGCAGTACTCCCCCCCACCCCTGGGCGGCGGGTGGGGGCCATAATGAGAATGGGGGGGGACCTACTGTCCTCCCCCCCGCCCCCACCCCTGGGCGGCGGGTGGGGGCCATAGTGAGAATGAGGGGGGGGCAGTACCCCCCCCGGCCCCCACCCCTGGGCGGCGGGTGGGGGCCATAATGAGAATGGGGGGGACCTACTGCCCCCCCCGGCCCCCACCCCTGGGCGGCGGATGGGGGCCATGAAGATAATGAGGGGGGGGGACCTACTGTCCTCCCCCCCGGCCCCCACCCCTGGGCGGCGGGTGGGGGCCATAATGAGAATGGGGGGGACCTACTGCCCCCCCCCGGCCCCCACCCCTGGGCGGCGGGTGGGGGCCATGAAGATAATGAGTGGGGGGACCTACTGTCCTCCCCCCCCCCGGCCCCCACCCCTGGGCGGCGGGTGGGGGCCCATGAAGATAATGAGGGGGGGGACCTACTGTCCTCCCCCCCCGGCCCCCACCCCTGGGCGGCGGGTGGGGGCCCTAAGTCAATTACCCCCCCCAAGGTGACTAGGGGTCCCCAAGCCCCTAGTCACCCACCCCCCACCCAAAAAAAAACAAGTCCCTACCTACCCCCCTCACCCTAAAAAATAGTGAGGGGGGGATAAAATAACTAACCTGTAAAATAAAATTAAACTTACCATTCGACGTCTTCTTTTTTCTCAAATCTTCTTTTTTCAGCCCCAAAAAAGGCCAAATAAAAAACCATCATAACCGTCGAATTGAAAATAAAATAAAAATCCCGAGCGCAAAAAAAAAAACCCGACGAAAAAAAAAAAACCCGAGCGCAAAAAAATAATCCATCTTCACCCATGGAGGGCTCCGCGCAGACTGAGCTCCGCAGAGCGGGGGAAGGCTTATAAAGCCTTGCCCCGCCCTGCAATTAGGCTAAGAACACTCTGATTGGTGGGTTTAAGCCAATCAGAGTGTTCTTTGTCATTTTACACAGCGTGGGAAAATTCAAAAGAACTTTCCCACGCTGTGTAAAATGACACAGAGCACTGTGATTGGATGGATTTCAAGCCATCCAATCACAGTGCTCTGTGTCATTTTACACAGCGTGGGAAAATTCAAAAGAACTTTCCCACGCTGTGTAAAATGACACAGAGCACTGTGATTGGATGGATTTCAAGCCATCCAATCACAGTGCTCTGTGTCATTTTACACAGCGTGGGAAAATTCAAAAGAACTTTCCCACGCTAAATGGCGGTGAACCATGAAGAAATGAGGGGAGGACCTCTCCCCGCCTCCCACTGGCGGCGGGGGGGGGGCAGTAGTCCCCATTCTCATGGCCCCACCCGCCAGCGGGGCGAGGACAGTAGGTCCCCCCTCATTATCTTCATGGCCTACTCGATTATACACAGCTGGAAAGTTCTTTGAATTTTCCCACGCTGTGTAAAATGACACAGAGCACTGTGATTGGATGCTTGAATTATCCAATCACAGTGCTCTGTGTCATTTTACACAGCTGGAAAGTTCTTTGAATTTTCCCACGCTGTGTAAAATGACACAGAGCACTGTGATTGGATGGCTTGAAATCCATCCAATCACAGTGCTCTGTGTCATTTTACACAGCGTGGGAAAGTTCTTTTGAATTTTCCCACGCTGTGTAAAATGACACAGAGCACTGTGATTGGATGGATTTCAAGCCATCCAATCACAGTGCTCTGTGTCATTTTACACAGCGTGGGAAAGTTCTTTTGAATTTTCCCACGCTGTGTAAAATGACAAAGAACACTCTGATTGGCTTAAACCCACCAATCAGAGTGTTCTAGCCTAATTGCACGGGCAAGGCTTTATGCTTCCCCCCCGCGAGCTCAGCGCCGAGCCCTCCATGGGTGAAGATGGATTTGGGGCGCCCTCCTTAGGCCCCACCAGGTCCGAGTAGGTCCTCCCCCCCTCATTATCTTCATGGCCCCCACCCGCCGCCCAGGGGTGGGGGCGGGGGGGGGTAGTAGGTCCCCCCCCCTCATTATTGCCCCCACCCGCCGCCCAGGGGTGGGGGCCGGGGGGGGCAGTAGGTCATTTGGTCTCCCCCCCTTATTTTATTTTAGGGCCCCCACCCGTCGTTTAGGGGTGGGGGCCAATAGTTTTTTTTACAGTGAGCAGCCACAGGCTGCTCACTGTTTACCAGACATGCCCCTACTCGCAGTATAGCGAGTAGGGGCATATTACTTACTAATACTAAGTAATTTTTACTTGGTATTAGTAAAGTTGGCTGAAAGACCAATTTAGGTCTTTCAGCCTTTTAGTAGATAACTCCCTGATACCATGGGAATTAGGGAGTTATCTACTAAGCGGCTGCAAGATGCAGCCACAGCAAGAATAGGATCGGAGTTTCATTCATTCTAATGAAATTCTGATCCGAATAAAGTGCCGAATTGCGTTCTAAAAGAAACGAACAGACTGTTGTCATTCAGTTAGAACGCAATTCGGCAGTTTTGTGTAAAATGACAGGAAGCATTGTGGGAACACTGAGGAAAGCTAGGGATCATGGGAAAATTGCTCTGACCAGCGGAAATGAAGCACACTTTGCTCCTCCGCTGGTCAGAGCTGGTCAAGCGGAGGAATCCCCCATAAGGCAAAGAGTCCCTACTTTGTCTTATGATTTTAAAGAAAACTAAAGAAGACAGGAAGAAAAGAATAACAGATCCTGAGAGAGGGGGAGAAGAGGAAGAGATTGAGGAAAGGTAAGTTCGGCATGACAGTGCCGCTTTAATCCTTTATTTACTGTGGCAAGGGTGGCAGTGCGAGGGGGGGGGAGGCGGACGCAGCTGTATTGACAAAGAATGGATACATTAGAGCCTCGATTGATTTGTGAGGGGTCTGGTTACACCGTGTGGCCCAGCTTGAGGTGCACCTTTCTAGGGTTTGGATTAGCCATGTCTAAGAGGCAGTGTGACTGATGGACTAAATTTTAAGCTCTATAATGAATTTTGTGAGCGAATAACTCAGCCATAAGTAACCCACTAGACATAGGCTGCTATAAGATAAACTCTGCAAAGATTGTTAAAGTTGAAACACAATGTTGAAAAGTACTTCGTTAGAATGAAACATTTTTCTTCCTTACATCTTGTGGCAGGTTTTTCAAACAGCACATTAATTAACATAAAATCAGGACACGCATCAGCTCCATTTAGAATACAGAACCTGCAAATAAGTTACAAACCCCTTTAACAAACAAGGACATATCAACAATAAATCTGGCCCTGAAAGAACATTTAGAACCACCTTTTCAAGATAACATAGGCCACCAAAGTACATCTATACAAGGAAATACCTTGATAAAGGAATTTGCATTCAGAGTTCGTATTAGTCATAGAAAAATGATGTCAGCAGCAAGCATTTTACCTCTTCTAGAATTACTTTAGTGGTAGTTACTCATATGATATACCTGCGGAAACATCACTGGATGTGAGTTAATTATATTAACAGTTTCAGTATCAATATTTGTTACTAAAATTAGAACTTTTTTTTGGTAAATTCTGCTTCAGCGACATGTGCATACACAAAACCACACACGCATACACACTTAAAGGCCTACATGTGTCTATGTATTTGCATTATTATACATATGTATTTGTATATATAAAGGGATGTCAAAGGTACAGAAATACTGTAGTCCCCAGAACAACTAGAGCTCATTGTAGTTGTTTTGATGAGTATTGTCAGTCCCTGCAGGCATTTTCATGTAAACACTGCCTTTTCAGAGAAAAAGCAGTGTTTAAATTGCTGCCTTGGAACGCTCCTTAGATGGCTACTAGAGGTGCTTCCTGTGGCAATGCTGCACAGTGTGACTTTCAGTGTCTCTGAACTTTTCCCATAGAGATGCATTGGTATAATGCATCTTTATGAGGAGATGCTGTTGGCCAAGCTGGCACTTGGCCCCGCTTCCTTGATGATCTCAGCCAATCCAATGCTTTTCCTATGGGAAGCATTGGATTGGCTGAGATCATTAACTCTGATGTAAGCCAAAAAGGCGGATCGGGGGTGGGGCCAGCACCAGCGGACCCGTGCGGTGCAGGAAAAAAGGTAAGTTTATTATCTTTTAAGGGGGGTAAGCCACCTAAATGGTGGTTTTAACACTATACGGTCAAGAATAAATTTTCCTGACCCTATAGTGTTCCTTTAATATATTAACCTATATGTTCACATGAACACCACCTGCTTGCAAATACTTTATTGCTAAATAACATGCATTTTAACATAGTCACAGCTGAAGGTCTCAAATTACCCTCATAATTTTCACATTCACACATGCATAGAGATCCACATTTGTCCTTGGTAAGTGATGATGTAGAAAAAGGTATTGAATGAGCAGCATTCCATTGAAGTTATACCTTCATACTTCAGACACAAAAGTAGTCTCCACTACCAACATGAAAGGCACAATAAGTCACCAACTCCCTCCATCATTTGACTGCTCCAGCATCCCGAGGGACTGTCACATAAATGGGGATTCCTTCTACTAGAGCCTTGAATGGCAGCTTTCTTATTTTTACTTACAAGGTTTACCAGAGGTGAATATAAGGATATACACTGCACAAGCAATGTACTGTCTTACATAGCATTTACATGCTAGTAATAAATTGCTCCGGTCAGACAATTCTGTAAGAATAATGCTAGTAGTTGCTCGGTTGTGGTTTAGACACTAAAACTGGAACTGCTGTGAATTAAAATTCAAACGGCACTATAGGCTCTTGGAGTGCCCACCTTCAGCCACTTACGTTAATCCAGCACCAGGCTCCCTCGCCGCTCTTGACATCTCCTCCCCCGCCGACGTCAGCTCCCAAGTGGAGCCGAAAGCGCATGCGCGGCCAGAGGCACATGCGCATTCAAACCCGCCCATGGGAAAGCATTACTCAATGCTTTCCTATGGGGATTTTTTTTGATGCTGTACTCCGTGAGGACATCCAGCATCAAATAAGTGCAATTTACTCAGTGTAAATCGCAGAAGCGGCTTCTAGTGGCTGTCAGGGAGACAGTCATTAGAGGTTGGATTAACCCTGCAGTGTAAACATAGCAGTTTCTCTGAAACTGCTATGTTTTCAGCTGCAAGGTTAAAACTAGGGGGACCTGGCACCCAGACCACTTCATTGAGCTGAAGTGGTCTGGGTGCCTATAGTGGTCCTTTAACAGTAGCCTTTGAAAGCACATTTTCTAAACTCAATCATAACCATATTATCTAGCACTTTAGGCATATTGGGTAATAATGCAGGGGTGGCTATGTGGGTGTGTAGGTATGTAGGTAGGCATGTAGGTTTGTAAAGCGTGTGGTATGTGGATACGTGGCCATCTGGTAACATTAATATATGTATATGAGAGTAGATTGAAAGGGTTGAGGCTCTGGGTGCAGGGACTGTTAAAACTAATGGTTTTAACATTCTAAATCCACAGAAATCATACACAGAAACATCAGTATGAGGCTACAGAATCATAACACGTAATGCTGCGTTAACTCTAGCATTGCTTATGCATTCCTAAACAGGGATAAAAGTAAGCATTTCATTTTTTTCTTTTCAGACTAATTTATTTTATTTTTTTTATTCTTTATTTAAGAGGCATGCGAATCATACAGATTGCAAGACTATTTTAGCATGAGAAAGCAATAACCTGTCTAATTTTCCAGTCACTCAGAATAAGAACACAACAACAGAATGAAATAAAAAGGAAGGGATGGACCAACGGAAGAAATGGAAAAAAGAACTGCTATGAGTTTGCATCTCCATAAGGGAGTAGCTCAAAAGAGTTAGAGGTGTACTCACACCACAATTCTACATTTTATAAAATGGGAGCAGAGTGTTGTAAACAATTGCTGTCAATTGATCTACTACAGGGAACAAGGGGTTTTCAACCAAGATGCAACCAAAACTTTCCTGAGAGTCATAGTGATTTAATTATACAGCTATTAAGCCAGCACAGGGAGACTCTCTGAAGGTCGAGACTGTAGGAAAAGTCAGGAGTGTAATACAAAGGGACCTAAATGAAAAATACTAAAAGATCTCTCACCATGCTTCAAAAAGGAATCACCATGAAACAAGACCACCATATCTAAAAGTAAGTACTATAATGACCACACAGTCTCAAACAACAATCAGAGGGGCTTTTCCCTATTCAAAATAGTTGGACTGGGGTAGAGTACCACTGAAAAGAATATTGGATATCTGCTCCTGGAACGTTAACACAAATCGAAACCCTGGTGTCTGCCTCCCAGATGTCATACAGGAATCGCTCTCCAGTTCCATTTCCAGATCCATTCCCACTGACCAACATAGCACATAGGGCACCAGATAGTAGAATGGGAACATATGTGATTAGAAATCAATTAAATTAGACCCTTGTCAAACTGTTCTCTTAGATATCGTTCTGTGAATGGAGAAAACACTGAGCCAAGGCTAGGCTGAAGTTTTACATACCTTGTAGCACTTCCATTGGGAGGACTGTCCAGGCATTTTCCATATAGGAGATGTATAGGTATCGAGCAGTATTGCAAGCCAAACCAATGTATAAGACTCTGTAATACAACAAGCAGGATGTAGAAATATATTTATGTTTCAATAAATAAATAAAAAATACAATTTCGCAGGTAAAAGGCTATTAAATAAAAATAGATGAATTTTTAAGTTAAAACTAGTTTAATGATCAGTATAAGTACACATGATGTCTGCTTAGGGTCATTCTTAAAAGAAAATTGTAATTTTGCATTATAATTTAAATGTAGTTATTACTATTGTAACCTCTGTGTGTATAATTCAATACATATAAAGTTCATTGTACATGATGTACGGTCACACAAATAGTGCTTCTGACAAAGATAATCTGAAGGGACACTCTCATATCCCTACAGTGTTCTTTAGTAGTTACGGTGTCAGGCGTCCCAGGACATCATCTGTCAAACTGATTACACAAGGTTTGATACTTGCCTTACTATATGGGGCATCAGTGGTCTTTGGTCAAATAAAGCAAAGGTTCATACTTCTGTATTATCCACTAAAGCATTCAGAAGTTCAGATTTTGTGCACCTCTAAGTGGAATCTAAACGGACTTTTGGTCCGTTATCTGACGCTGGACATCATCATGGACCTCCAGCGTCAATTTTTCCCCATAGGAAAACATTGAATTATGCTTTTCTATGGAGAGGTCAAATGCGCGCGTGGTCATTAAGTCTCCCCTGCCGGCTGAAATTGGCGGCGGGGGTCCATGGGCGGAGTCTGACCCAGCACCGATGTCCCTCCCTGCTTTAACAGGGAGGTCGCGAGGGAGGGGGACACCGAATAACCCTATAGTGCCAGGAAAACGGGTTTGTTTTCCTGACACTATAGGATCCTTTTAAAGCTGTCAGCTGACCCTACCATATGTAGTATTAAAGTGATAAAAAAAATTAAGCAAAAAATACATTTTTGGCAGACTGCCTCCATTTCTTAATGCCTTAATCCAACTGGTCATCCTTTAATTACTGGAGATTTTATGTTCAGAGATATTTTGTCCGAAGTGCTGTGAAAAATCCAGTTCATCCACTTAGCACATAACATAATAGTGCAGCAGCCTAGGCGTGCCTGTAACAGTTTCCTATGTAGACAGTGGGCCCACCACACCCATGTAAAAACTACAAGTGATTTCAGACTTTCACAGAAGACTGTGTATAATATTTTCCACAGTCTAACTCTAACTGACCAAGTCATAGGATACTGGCCTCACAGCAACGATCACTCACATGACATTACACATCGCTTTATCTTAACAAAAGATACATCAAAATTCATCCTGAGAGGACATAATGAACATTTTACATTTATTTATGCATTCCCAATATTTTCCAAATGTATTTGTGAGACATGAAAAAGATAAAAATTAACTGTAGAAATGCACAATTATCCTGGAACTGGGTTCATCCATCTTGGCTCACTGCCAATCATTCTAAATGTTGATTTTTATTCTACCACTGATAAGAAGAGTTGGAAGGAGAAGAAAATAAACCTAGGTAATATGTACCAATGTGTTAGGTTCTAAAAAAAAAAAAAAATAAAGTTAAAAAGAATCAGAAATATCCTGAATGTATTCTACACCAGTGGAGTAGGCAACCATCAGTACTCCAGATGTTGTGGACTATATATCCAATAATGCTCTGACATCCATATTGTTGACAAAGCATCAAGGGAGATGTAGTTCACACAATTTGGAATGCCAAAGGTTGCCTACCCATAGTTATCCTAAAAGCTCCCACCATGAATAAAAAGTGAAACAGTACTAATAGGGGCTAGTTTACAAAATCTCAGGGTCGAGGGAAAACAAATTCCTCAGTAAATTATTAAGAAAATTGTGCTATTTAGAAGAAAGTCTCCAAAAAGGTTGTTATTTGGCATATTTAACAGTCAGATGTGAAAATATATAGACATTGTAACTCCTTTTTAGACACACGTTATTTACAAACAGTCAATCCTAAAGAGGTTTAACGGGATAATCTAAGCACCAAAACAACTTTAGTGTGATGAAGCAGTTTCAGTGTATAGAATAGATCATGCCCCTGCTGTCTCACTGCTAAATTCACTGCCATCAAATTCCTCTCTGTTTATACAGCCCTAGCTACACCTCCCCTGGCTGTGATTTACACAGCCTGCTTGAAAAAAAAATGGTTTCCTTTTTAACAGGTCTGAGAGCACAGGATGTTTCTTTATGTTAGAAGTTTGCATCTCCTGCCCTGTTAGTATAACTTTAATCACACACAGAAGGCTCCTACAGGTTCCGGTAGACTATTAACATTACAGGGAACAATAAATTCTAAATTAAACAGAATGTGCAAAAAAAAGAAGAAGAAAGTTTAAACATTAGATCTGTCTTTACAGAAAGTGTTTAGGAAGACTGTGCAAGTTATATGCAGGGAGTTGAGACGCTATAAAAAAACAAAGTGCACTAACACCTAAATGAGAATTGAGCAGTCAGACTGCAAGGTCTATGATCTATACTAAAACCACCTTTTTTATCTCAACCCAGTGGTCTTACTAATCACTCTCACTGCCAGTATGTACAGCCTGTAGTTCTGTGCAATCACTCACTCTCTGGCACATCTCATCCCGTTTCATTATACTAAAAAGTGCAATGTTCTTCTATGACGTTTTATGCTACTGCTATGTTGATTATTCTTGCATATATTTATGCTACGATGCCATTCTACTTTTGTATGAATCCCAATGCAAGCAAAAATAAAGAATTAAAAAAACAAAAAAACAAAAAAAAAAACACCGCACCAAAGACAGATTTAATTAAAGTTATTGCTGGGAAGGGTGGATGAAATTCACAAAAATCAATCCCCTAACAAAAGGGGTTAGTCGAAAGCAGCTCTGCCCCTAAAATTTAATTTGGCCGCTCCCTATGTACAACCATCATCACACCCACTGCACTTGTCTAAACCAAGAGCAACATAAATCAATGTCATTATCAAGTCTGTGGATATTTCATAAAAGAAAAAGTAAGTATACCATCTCCCTCCCATTTCCCTTCTCCTTGTGGGTTCAGAGCAGCAAGAATGACCTCCGTGTACCTGCCTCCCCAAAACAGGACCCCTACCATGCCATGGTACATAGGCAGTGGGAAGGACCTGCAGTCCACTGCCAGGGCCAATGTAAGGGAATCTGTGTGTAAATTTGCATTTTTTTGGGGGGGACAAGTACTGACTGCTATAAATCACATGGCCATCAGCCATCTGTCACTGACCTGGACAGTGAGTCCAGAGCAGTGTTGCCTTTATAAAAGCTGCAGTCTCTGCTGCTTTTTCATTGCTTGCTAACTAGTTGGGGATGTGGGTGGAAGCTTTAGAAAGAAGCCTTGAAAAAGCCCCACCCCATCAACTATTCCTGCCATCTCACTATTATTAGCTCCCAAGCTTAAAGCTCCTATCCTATGAACTACCAGTGAAGCAGCTTGATCTATAGCTGTCGCATATTCCAGAGTCTTCCTCTGTGATTGTTTTTGTCTACTATCTAAACTGTCTAAGGAACACTCCAAGCACCATAATTACCACAACCAAATTTGTCAGATTAGGGGTATGTATCACAATGTAATTTGGGGAATGTCTTGTGTTATACCCTGTCTGGCTGTGGAGCCTGTGCAGTGTTACCTATTAGCTGCAACATTTATGAGCACTACCTGAATAGCAAGATTAGTTAATTTGCATATTCAGGCAGATTTTCATATTATACAGGCAGGGACAAATTTCTTGTTCGTCTTTGTCTTCCACACTCTGTCTTTGTTTATTAATATTGCATAGTATTGTATTATTATTATTATAAGCGCCTGTATGATTTGGTTATACGTATTGAATTGAGTATGTCACCATAACTGTAATATAGCCCTGAGCGATAATAAAGTATTGTGTGCTAGTTCAATTGGGAACTGTGTGTCCTGTCTGGTTTGTTCAGGGATCACTAACAGAGTTATTTCACCTGTTTGCTGGCTGCACTGTTCCCTGATCCCGGGACAGGTTAAGAAAGAAGATCCCATGAGGATCCTGAGAGCCACATGTACCTTTGTGAAGGCAGAGGTGTCGATACCTTCCTGGGAGCAGAACAGAAGAGGCGACGGGAACTACACCTGCCTGGAAGGAAAGAGCTGCAGCCGTGTGTGGTTAAAGAGGTCCTGAAAGACCCAAGTCAAGCTTTGGCAAATATCTATATCTCATTCTAGCTATGCACTTTGGGTAGAGAGGGAATACTGTGCTGCCCAGTGTCCTGGTTCTGGTGAGTGTAAAAATGAGCCTGAGCGTATCATGAATCATAGGTCTGTCTGCTCCTCCACATGCAAGAAGCCTGGGGTCACACAAAGGGAGAAGGAGGGTGAGTGTAAAACAGAGATAGAGGCCATCACGACCGCCATCTATCACTGAACAATAACTACATATTGTGAGCTTCAGCACCGAGAACTGTGAGGGAGCAATAACAGTCAGACTTTGCAAGGCAAAGTTCTATTGCAATGTGCCTGACTGGAACCCTGTGACACCTGCCCCTCACCAGTGGTTTGCTTTACAGGTCCTTTAGCTCAAACACTGCATCATCAGAGAAGTTAAATAATATACAAAAAAGAAAGCATTAAAAAGTGCAAAACAATGTATTTGTATATTATGACATGAATGCTAATAGCAAGAAAAATAACAAAAATCTCAATAGAACTACTACTAAAAAAAAAAAATAGATTCGATGTATGGATTCAGTCAGATGTAGATTAAAAGATATCTGATTTGTTGACTGGCAGATGCAAAGGTCAGAGATTATAACACTGATTGACAAGGAGCCAAGATGGAGGTGTCGAGGTGCAACTTGAAAAGGTATGAATTTATCTTTTTAATTTTATTTTTCAAATCACACAAATACATATTTGTTAAAAAAAAAAGAGAAAAGTAAACATGATATTAAGAAATGCAATAAGTGACAGACTCCCTTTAAGCCTAAAAGAAGTGGAGTAGAGTTAAAGGGACACCATAGTCGCCAGAACAACTACAGCTTATTGAATTTGTTCTGGTGAGTAGAATCATTACCTTCGGGCTTTTTGCTGTAAACACTGTCTTTTCATAGAAAAGGCAGTGTTTACATTACAGCCTAGTGATAACTTCACTGGCCACTCCTCAGATGGCTGTTAGAGATCCTTCCTGCGTCATGACTGCCTAAAATGCATCCAAACATTCAGTATCTCCTCCCTCTGAATGCAGACACTGAACTTTCCTCATAGAGATTAACTGGTTCAATTCATCTCTATGAGGAGTTGCTGTTTTTGAATTGTGCTGGCTCTGCCCCTGATCTGCCTCCTTGTCAGTCTCGGCCAATCATATGGGGAAAAACAAGCAGAGTTACAGCTTCAGGCTTGAATACAGTAAGATTTTGCAATATCTATGGAGGCATGAGGGGCCCAGGGGGGGCTAGATGGTGGTTTTAACACTATAGGGTCAGGAATACATGTTTGTGTTCCAGACCCTATAGTGATCCTTTAACTGTGTTTCTAGTGTCAAATGATGGCAATTAGTTGGTGAATAACTGCTATATATAAATTAAATGTCAAAGTGCAAAGAAAAAAAGCACAAGGATATGGGTTTGACAGTGCAATTAAACAAAATAAACATTGCTTAAGAAAACTCCTAAAAATGAATGTAAAATGGTCACAGTGACATTTTTGCACAAAAGTTAGCCATGGGTTGTGGTTTTATTTACTTGTTTACACTGCATGCCTGACTGTCCAACCAAACATACATACATAATTTTTCTGTAAGTCCCAGAGTGTCATTGGATGGTAAGTGCTTTTCCTTAAAGGAACACTACAGTGTCAGACATGTATACCTGACACTCAGGCTCTAATAATGCAATTTAGGTTTCTGGCCTAACTCTCCCTGCAGTAAAAAGGTGATTTTTTTTTCACCTTTTTCCAGCGCTGTATTGTTCTCCTTGTGGCTGACTCTGCCCCAGCCCGCTTGACAAACTTGATGACCTCAGCCTATCCAATGCTTTCTCATAGGAAAGAAAGCAGCCAATCCAATGCTTTCCTATGGCTATCGCGCATGCTCAGCAAAGCACTGCGCCAATCAGCATCTCCTCATATCAATGAATCAATGCATATTGATGGGGAACATTCACAGCTTCCATGCAGAGTGTGGTGGCATTGAACAGCACTGATTTAGAAAGCACCTCTAGATGTTCCTAGGTAGCAAGGTAAACACTGCCTTTTCTCTGTGTTTATATTAAAAAGCCTGAAGGGAAAGGCAGTAGACAAAATAAAAACTACACTAAAGCTGTAGTTGTTCTGGTCACTACAGCGTCCCTTTAAATCTTAACTCAAATACAGCCATTTATTTTATACATAAATTAACCTTGAAGTTTTTTTTATGAATTGTAGCAATAACACGTGAAAAAAATCTAATGCAGAAACTGAACAGATTACTAATTTTCACTGACAACTGAGAGGAAAGATAAAAGGAAGTCGCCACTATGTTCCATTGCACTGAGGAACCATCTGTGGAGACAGTTACGGACTAATGAATAGGCCAGGGAACAGACTAAACAGAAGGTGTAGAGAGCAATTTGTGTGTTAATCTATAAAATTTAAATTTTGCTTCTTTTGCCAAGTTATTTAAATCTCTAAATACAGAATGATGTACACTTACCTGATGTGACCAACCAACTCAATCAACTTGTGGCTGAAGAAATAAGCGGTCAGTTCAGAAATGTGACTCAAAACTGAGCAAACACCAAACAGAGTTGTAGTCCCTTTGAGGTCCTCAAGGTGCCAAAAAAGAAAGGTGAAGACAAATCCATAGCCAAAGCCCATGAACCAGGCCACAAATAGAACAGAACTATATTGCACAGTGCATATGAGCTTTATCAAATCCCAGTATTTAAAGGCTTCTGTTTCTGGTCCCTCATTCCTGCTTTCACTCTGACTCTGTGCTGGAGATTCAGCCTGGGATCTATTTTCCACTGGAGAGATCTCCAGGTCTTCATTCCTATCCACATGTGTTTGTAGGTGGTGGTAACGAAAGCGAAATTGAGTAGAAACAATAAGTGCAATGGACATCAGGACACCAAAGACAATAAAAGCAATACGATAGTCCTTGTATTCAGGAGCTAGACAACCACTACCACTTATTTTCATAAATATTTTAGTATGATCGATACCTATACCCACTGATAACATAGCCAGTCCCCATCCAAGAGATCCCCACATCCTTTGGAGTCCATAGCGATCCCTATGTTTGCCTAAGTACTGTAGAGTTACTGTATCCACAATAGTCACAGCTGGAGCACTAAAAAACTCTCCAATAATGACCACCAGCAAGATCAAGAGGAAGATAGTTTCTACATCTGCTTCATCGTATAGCAATGCAAAGTTGCCAGGAGCTTTGGTTGTTGTAGTGATGGCCAAGGTTGTCGTGGTTAAAGAAATGGTAGATCCATTACTCATTTCTGTGCCTACTGTTACACTATTATTTGAAACATCTCTGGCATTTCGATGTAAAATATTATCTTCTCCATTATAGAACATCATTTCGGAGCTAAACTCTACATCAGATTTCCACAAAAGTTGCCTATCTGAATAGACATCTCTCTTACGTCTGTTTTTTGCTGTGGTGGTATTCTCAGCAGGAATCCGTGTTGATGGAGAAACAAAGGGTGGAAGAGTGCTGGAGTTAGTCGGTTGCACAGGCACAGGGTTAGTAGGCACACATAACAATGTTGCTGGTTTTACAAACCCTATTCCTAAATTAAATAAAACCCAGCAAAGAACTGAGAAGAGTAAAACCACCTTCCCTTTTCTAAAACGGTCCGCTATGACGCCCCAGAAAGGGGCACTACAAAATTCGATAAAATATCGGATTCCAACAAGCAATCCACTCTGAGTAGCAGACATTCCCAGTTGTTTGTAGTAAACAGGGAGCAGAGGATAGAGGGAACCATATGCAGAATAAAAAAAGAAGTAGAAAACTTTAGAGATGAGAAGGTCATTGTTAATTTTGAAGCAGTGTTTCTCCAGCCAGTCCATTTCGTCATCTGTGATAGAAGCAGTATCTGTTGCTTGATGAGCTTCACTAGGTCCAGCTTGGTCATTCTCCACGCTAACCCCATTAAAAGGATCAGCAAGTACATATTTTCTCTTCTGTTCCTCCTCATCTTCAGTTAAGATAGCAACTTTGTCCCCTGTAGCCATTGCTCAGCAATTGAGGTAACTACAGCTGTATATCTTGTGTTTATGCAGCAGACCTGTAAGTAATAAACAAAAACTATTAGACATCACAAAACAGAGTAGATATTGAAAAACAAAATGACAAGAAGTGTGGCACACACACACTACATTGGTACATGTTGGGAAATTTGACTGAGATAGATTTGCAGAAACACTGGATTTCCCATAGTTATATTTTCTTATACATGGGGTGGGTCTCTGGTGGCACCAGGCACATTATATTTTTAAGATCTATGTAATATGGAACATAAACACAACTCAGTCAAATGCACAACTGCATATTCATTATTTACATTGTAGGGCTAATAGTACATTTAATAAAGAGCAAACAGATCAAAATACAAAAACACATTTTGGCAATGACAGCGTTAAAAGGCAACGTATGTGTCCACAAATACTGTTAACAAGCATATCAACATGTACCATTGTATACCTTGGTAAAACAAAACCAAACAAACAATTTGATTCTTTAGCATCTCACAAAGACGACTGAAAGGTCATTCTGACTTTGACATTTGTGACGTTGGCAAGCTGGGTAGGAAGTCAGTCTGTGATTAAAATAAACATTCTGTTAAATCTGAACTTTAACATTACAAAATCCCTTAATCCAACTGTTTTTCACCTCTTCCTTGGAACTCAAAAGGGGGAACTCATGCTAGTTTAGCGCATTTCCACTGGCTGGAGCATTTTCATATATCATATTCATCAAATATTATTCCCAACATAGAATATTATCGTATGATATCCCTTATGAATAAAATCATGTTCATCAGATCCTGTTTTAAGATTGCACAAGTTAATGATAGGCCTAAAGAATACAGAGACTATATATAATGCAATATTTTATTTTAATTAATAATAAAATTTAAAAAATGCTAAATATTATAAAACCATCCCAGAGACATGGTCTTGGCAAAATCCAGAAGTATTACAGTGCCCCAGCAAGGACCCCTTGGTACAGTCCCCAGGGGCTACAGGCTAGGAAGGTTTGGAATCACACTTTAACTCCATTTATATTTTGTTCTACGCAAAAACACTAAATTTACATATTTCTGGCATATATAGACTTTTCCTTGAAGCTAACCCAAGTAAAAAAAAATCTAATTGATCCCTAGTGTAACTTTACTAATTTTATCTCAATCTACCTTATATATGTTATTTATATATATATATATATGTGTGTTATAATATATTATATCATCAGTTCATGCAAATGCATTTCCCTCAATCAATATTTAGTAAGAGTTTAAAAAAAATAAAAAAATGTCTTCCAATTGACGCCTAGTCCGACTTAAACTGAGCTGACTTTACCTACACAGCCTATAAAAAATATACTGTGCTGTACTTCTTGCCATGACATATGTATATCTCACTGGTGTTATTCAATATTGTTGCGGTCATGACAGTGCGAACTATGTATGTTGGTTTATAGCACAACAAAAATAAGCTATAAAACAATGGAATGGGGAAATCCTTCATTTGCCCCAGAAAATAGGGGGAAAATTAAATAAAAAAATACAATAAATAGAAAACATATACATATATATATATATATATATATATTAGTATTAGTCCCGTATTAGTCCAGTAGATATTATAATATTTCAAAGACAAGCTTTCGAGAGTTTTCCTCTCTTCCATATATATATATATATATATATATACATACATACATCCACACTATTGCTTTAGACTAGATTTCTAGAATATACTGCTAAAGAAAAATACAATAAAAATAATCATTACAAGAAAAAAAATTACATTTTCAAAAAGAGATATTGTGAGAAAAATATTAAAGCGGCACAAGAAGATTTTAGTATACTGCAATGAACTGTCCTATAAGAACATCATTAAAAAAATGTGTATTGGTAGTGCACCTCTAAAAAAAGCGTAATAAAACTGGTTCATTTGTGCAAAACACATTCTGGGTCACATAAAATACAGAGATAGGCTCTTTCTGTATACACCCCATTTTATAGGCAGATAAATTCCTGTCTCAAAATCTGACAAATGAGACAAATTATTCTCAAACCCTCATTTTATTGAATTGTTGTTGATTTTCTCCTTTAAATTACTTGCTTCAGCTATTGATGTGCAAATTAGACTTCAACAGGTCATCTGATTCATTACAACACAGAGTACATTAAATTACTGTGACATGGATGACTCTTATTTATACATTGGTAACATAAACCATTTTTCTAAATAAATAAAACAGAGACAGGTACAGTGTGTGCTTGATTTTTCCAGAAGCACTTCAGAAAGGAACATAAAAAAGAACTCAATTATGTTCGTCATGAGTCTTTTTATGAATCCTTTGTTTTGAAAATTGGAACTGTGGCTTCTCTGGAGGTTTTTTGTTCCGTCTTTGACATGTTTACTGGAGTTAATAGTGTTTTGGAGGCACATAAAAAAAAAACCTACTTAACTCCATGTCGTTCCAAGATGTCCTCATGCTCGCTCGGGCAGCTACAGAAAAAAGCCTTGCTCAAGCATTCAACATCAATTGTACATAGTGCGAGAAGATGTCTGCTACTTCTTGATGGTTGATAGGCAACGTAATAATGGGAGGGCATAAGCTCCACCCACTGGAATAAAACTTGACTTGTGCATGAGTCAAAACCACCCCTTACTTCTCATGTATATGATCAGACTATCAACACTCTACGCCTATCATTGGTACCCCATTCAGAAAAGTGAGTGAAAAAAAAATGTATTCTTTTCACTCACTTTTCTGAATGGGGAGCTCGTGATAGGTTGCCCGGTCCAAAGCTTCCTGATTGAACACTTGCACCAATTTGGGTGTGGAACTATTCAATAATGGTTAATCATTTATGGTAAGGTGGCAACCAAGACCTCTTTCCATCATAACAAATTTATTGCGGTTAAGTTGTTGTGATGCCACAAACACCCACTCTGCATTATATACACACACTGCATTCAAACAAACACACACTCTGCATCATATACACACATACTGCATTCATTATATACACATACAATGCATTCATACAAACACACACTCTGCATCATATACACACACACTGCATTCATTATATACACATACATTGCATTCATACAAACACACACTCTGCATTATATACACACACACACTGCATCATATACACACACACACTGCATTCACACAAACACACACTGCATCATATACACACACTCTGCATTCATACAAACACACTCTGCATTATATACACACACACTGCATCATATACACACACACACTGCATTCATATAAACACACACTCTGCATTATATACACACTCACTGCATTCACACAAACACACACACACCGCAGCATATACACACATACTGCATTCATTATATACACACACACACTGCAATTCACACAAACACACACACACTCCGCATTCATTATATACACACACTACACAAACACACACACACTCTGCATTCATTATATACACACACTACACAAACACACACACTGCATTCATTATATACACACACACTGTAAATAAATATTAAATTAATGTAATTTTTGGGGGGATCTAATTATATTTAGAAATTTACCGTTAGCTGCTGCATTTCCCACCCTAGACTTATACTTGAGTTAATAAGTTTTCCAAGTTTTTTGTGGTAAAATTAGGGGCCTCAGCTTATATTCAGGTCGGCTTATACTCGAGTATATACGGTACCACTTTTGACTAATTTGTAAATGTTTTATTTACAACTACTCTCTGCACTCTATCTTTAAGTCAGTGGTCTAAACAAGAACACAATTTAAACCAACAGATTCCATATTTACTAGTAACCTTTTGTGTGAGAAGTTTTTTACTTCTTCATATAATGCATTTAAGTTAGTTTGGCATGACTGGTCTTTCATAAAACCATGTTGATTCCTACTCATGATATTTTTGTTCAAAATTAATTCTTGAATATTATCCCTTAGCAGCCCTTCAAATATTTTCTCGAGCACAGATGTTAAGCTCACCGGTCTGAAGTGTCCTTGTTGAGCTTTGGAAACATTTTTAAATATAGGCACCACATCTGCTTTTCTCCAATCCTCTTAATTCCTTAAAGAAAAGAATCCTTAAAAATTAAAAACAGTGGTATGGATATTTCAACACTAAGCTCACTAAGCATGTGCGTGGATGAATACCATCTTGCCCCGGGCTTTGTAAACATTAATTTTGGTTAATTTCTGAAGCACTTTATCCTGTATTAACCAATAACCTGTTTGCTGTAAGGCTTTTGTAACAGGGATTTGCATATCTACAGCCACAGATTCTTCTTCCCTAAATACTGAAGAAAAACAATAATTTAGAATTTCTGTCTTGCCCTGATCCTTCTTGATCAACTTACCCATCTCACCTTCCAATTAACATATTTACAAAAACGTTTTTAGGGTTGGTCTTGGTCTCTTTGGCTATGAGATTTTCATTTTCAAGTTTAGCTCATCTAATTTCCCTTTTTTCTAGCTCTATAAGCATGCTTATGTTTGTTATAGGATCCAATTGACCTCTCTGATTTAAATGTTTTGAATGTTTTTTTCTTTTGGCTTAAAAACAGAGTACAAAGAATTTTCATTAATGGTAAATTTTCAAGCTGGACAGAGGTGGCAAGTGGTGTTCCTCAGGGGTCTGTTCTGGGACCCTTCTATTTAACATGTTTATAAATGATCTTGAAGACAGCATTGAAAGTCATGTATCAGTGTTTGCATTTGACACAAAACTTTGTAAAATAATACAATGTGAGCAAGATATTACTTTGCTGCAGAGGGATTTAGATAGACTGGGCACTCAAATGGCAGATGAAATTTAATGTTGAAAAATGCAAAGTTATGCACTTCGGCGTAAAGAATACACAAGCAACGTATACCCTTAATGGAAGCGAATTAGGGATAACAACACACGAAAAGGACTTGGGAATTGTTATAGACAACAAACTATGCAACAATGTACAATGTCAATCAGCAGTGGCCAAGGCCAGTAAGGTATTGTCATGCATGAAAAAGGGCATTCATTCTCGGGACCCTCTTTATAAATCACTGGTAAGACCACATATTGAATATGCTGTGCAATTTTGGGCACCTGTTCTAAAGAAGGATATTATGGCACTAGAAAAAGTGCAGAGGCGGGCTACAAAATTAATAAAAGGAATGGAACATATCAGCTATGAAGAAAGGTTAACAAATTTAAACCTATTTAGTTTAGAAAAACGTTGCCTGAGAGGGGATATGATAACATTATACAAATATATTCTGGGCCAATACAAACCATTGTGTGGAAATCTATTCACAAACCGGACTTTACATAGGACACAAGGCCATGCGTTTAGACTGGAAGAAAGAAGATTTCGTCTAAGGTAAAGGAAATTTTTTTTTACTGTAAGAACAATCAGGATGTGGAATTCTCTGCCTGAAGAAGTGGTTTTATCAGAGTCCATTCAGATGTTCAAACAGCTACTAGATGCATACTTGCAAAAACAGAATATTCAATGATATAATCTTTCAATGTATGGTAATAACTGCTTGATCCAAGAATAAATCTGACTGCCATTCTGGGGTCAAGAAGGAATTTTTTTCCTAGCTTGTTGCAAAATTGTGCTTCAAACTGGCTTTTTTTGCCTTCTTTTGGATCAACAGCAAAAAAACAAATGTGAGGAAGGCTGAACTTGATGGACGCAAGTCTCTTTTCAGTATGTAACTACAGCTTATTAGGAAAAAAAAAAATCATACTCGCAGGCCAGCTTGGTTACTTGAGTTGAGCCTCAACTTTGCCATTCAGATTTAATTCAATAAAATGTCGTTTTTCAATAAACCTGCCTGCTTTGTGACTCCACACATCTGCAATAACAAATTTGACTCTGTCATGTGACACTCGAGGTGAAGTTGAATTCAATACTTCCCTATGAGAAGCATGTGATTGGATGCACTCGGAGCTTGTTATGCATGTGCCTCTTGTCCACAAGATAGGATTATCATGGTGGAAGCAACACCTATAGGAGAAAGAGGAGCGTGCAGCAGCACCGAGACTCTTGGTGCTGGGGAAAAAAGGTAAGTAATCCCTTTTTATCTATTTTATACAGGTTAGTGGAGGAGGGCTGAATCTACATAATAACTAGGCTATTAATTTCTCACTGTTATACAAAAAAATAAATACTAATATGTAAATAAATAATACATAAAAAAGTGGTAAAAGTGCTACCCCAGATGTACCTCAAAAAACACCCAACAAAATATATAATAAAGAAAAAGGGGAAAACACAAAAGGTAAAGATGAATAAAAAAAATATATTAACAACATGTAAGAACTACTGTAGAGAATTCCACAGATGATGACATATAAAAATTATAAACAATACATAGCGTAATACAGTAAATAAAAACACACCCTAGTGAAAGTAAGGTTGAACACTCAAAAAACAAACGATAGTTTCAGGCTCGCCACCCTTTCAAGGGTATTGGAATAAAGATCGTCTGCAAGGAACAAAAAGAGAAAATGGCAACAATAGTGAAGACAAAGTTGGACTTAACAGACTTTTATTTTACCATTTTAATGTTTATATTTGATTCTGTCACTGATACTATTTCTGCCGGCCCTGGCCTGGTCTTCACTTCTGAGATCTGCGTCCTGCTGGAGTGCCCCCATTGGTGGTAACATATATATTTTTTGCGCTTGCAAGTGCAATACAATAAATTCATATATGTTTTGATTTTACTTCACTATTGTGGCCATTTTCTAAGAGCATTCCTTGCTGAAGAACTTTATTCCATCATATTTTAAGTGGAATTATCTATAGTAATTCTTCCAGGTTGTTAATATACTTCTTTATTCATTTTTACCTTGACATGTGTTTTCCCCTTTTTCTTTATTAATTTAACACAACTCACTATTAAATAAGCAATTCATAAATATAATTTTAAACATGAAAACACATTTTACACCAAGGCATGCTACAAAAAAATTTAAATTTTAGAGTAGATTTGAACTTTTCCATGCATTCCATTACAGTTATGACAGATATAGTGGTAGAAAAAGATATAACAAACTTTTAAATTTCTCAACACAGTATTTCACAGTTCTGTGTACCATACGTGACTGTGAAGGTATAAAATACAGAAGCAGTCTGTATGTTGTATTAGCAAGGGTTTGCGAAGAGTACGGAACACCCATTTATGAATTATGAAAAAACACCACATTGAAAAAATATATTCACAAAGGTCCAGTTGTTATCATGCAGGAGAATAGTGGTTTCTCAGTTCAGTTAACCATAAATCCATTCATATATATTCATCCTCATACAGTACATCCACTGTATATCCACCTATACATACAAATACACAGAATAAGTAAAGCTGAAGCAAAGTAAGTAATTAAAATATTTTAAACACTTCCACACCCATATATGGGAATGGCATAATATATATAAGAGAGCGAGGGAGTGTGTCCTTGCACTCAGGCTGAACCAAGTATATATATATAAAAAGTACCGGGTGCCAGTCCCAGAGGACAACGAAAAACATACAAAAATAGATTGGGTCTGCACTCAGGGTTTGCGTTCAAAAAACGACTGCTTTATTTACATGAAGAAAAAGTTCCCATATGATCAACGCTTCAGTCCCTGAATGGGACTTTCATCAGGATCAGAGTAACATACATAGTGTGAAAAACAAAAATATATAAGATAATATTAAGGATTAAACCGGCGTCCTTGTGCGTGTACTGCGCATGTGTGTACCTAGCTCCGCCCGCGTTACCGGGCGTAAACTACGTATGAGAAATGGGCGTTTGGGTGATAATGCTATGTTTAATGTAACCATAGCGACGCCTTCAGCTGTCAAGACAGACCATGTATTGCGCATGTGCATTTATAATTCCCTACTAGCAGCATCGGGCATAAATATTAATGGACCCGTGAGCGTTCACGTAATCACGCTAGGATTAGTCTCCATGACAACCCTAATATGACAAATAAAATAAAGTAATAAGGAACTTTGCACATCGCGGGTACTACTAGAACACACCTTGGACAGAGGATAATACTTAATTTAGAACAGCTAAATTAGATTATATATATGTTGGCTCTAACAACAGGGCTAAAAAGTTGGACGGGGCACTTGTGTGAGGTCCAAGACAGATTGTTGGGCAGGTTCTAACAACATTTCAGCTCCAAAAACAGCCTTTCCCATATTTTTCCATCTTCCTATCTACATTACATAGGTTACACAAATACATAGATTCAAAGTTATTTCCAATTTTAGCCACCTAAAGGACAAATATAGTGCCAGGAAAACATACTCGTTTTCCTGGCACTATAGTGCCCTGAGTGTTCCCCCACTCTCAGGGTCCCACTCCCGCCGGGCTGCATGGCAAGGAAAGGGGTTAAACTTACCTTTTTTCCAGCACCGGGTGGGGAGCTCTCCTCCTCCTCTCCGCCTCCAATCCTCTTCGGCTGAATGCGCATACACGGCAGTAGCTGCGCGCGCATTCAGCCAGTCTCATAGGAAAGCATTCATAATGCTTTCCTATGGACTCTGGCGTCTTCTCACTGTGATTTTCACAGTGAGAAGCACGCAAACGCCTCTAGCGGCTGTCAATGAGACAGCCACCAGAGGCTTTAGAGGCTGGATTTACCCATTTATAAACATAGCAGTTTCTCTGAAACTGCTATGTTTATAAACAAAAGGGTTAATCCTAGAGGGACCTGGCACCCAGACCACTTCATTAAGCTGAAGTGGTCTGGGTGCCTAGAGTGGTCCTATAAGGCTTTTTCATGATTCTCAAATGACCTCATATGCTATTAACAGCTGTGAATGATCATGATGTACTTTGAACACACAAAAAGTTGTTTGCCACTGACAACACAGGAAAGATAAAAAATGAATAAAAATAAAGGGAAGTACCTAATTACACTACTTCTCTATTATGAAACTTCAGCAGTACTTTTCTAAAAAGAAACCTCTTACTGAAAACCACTTCAATTTATCAGTGATACTTCCTTGTTTAAGACTAATAAAAACACAGATAATATCAAGATAAGAAATATTAGTCTACCCATTACAATATGTCACACTGATTTTGCTTATGAGTTCTGAAGATAACTGATTCACATTTTGAGCAATGTTATATTGATTTCCTGTGTGTTTGGAATATCACCTCAACTTGTGAAGTATGGATTAGAACCTAGTTTGAAAAGATGAAAAAGAAACAAAGATAGGGCAATAATACAAGCGAGCAATGTCAAAACCAACATCAACATCGGAGCACTAGACTTAATACACAATAGATAGAAAAGCCATGTTGAGGAATCAGGAAATTGGAATAGTGAAAGTCTAGCCAGATCAGAACCAAGATAATTCAAGTGTCACCCTATGGGCTACTAGACTTGTGAAAAGGTGCATAGGAGTGAAAGGTGCTGCTTTATATAGGCAATGGTAGTGTCATTGGCTTCCATCATTTTGGCTCAGCAGAAATACCACCACGCAAAAATGACGCATTAAAGTGCGTACCCTTAGAATGACGCATGATGAAAGAAGACGACTGAGAGCATACTGCTCAAGCCAGATGTGTTGGACCTTTCACCTGCTGTGATAGCCTTTGCTACTTCTATTCAAAATTGTTCAAAATATCAACTACATAGACTTACATAGTTATGTAAACTGAAAAAAGTGTTGCATCATCAAGTTCAGCCTTTTTCACATTTGTTGTTGCTGTTGATCCAAAAGAGGGCATCAAAACCCAGTTTGAGGCTCTTTCCAATTTTAGAATGGCAGTCGTATCTCTCTTTGGATCACGAAGCTGTTACCTTTGAGTCCAGGACCTCCATCTTACCGGTAAGATGGAGGTCCTGGACTCAAAGGAACTAGCGCAGGAGGAATGCGAGCCACATCATCTCTCCATCAAGATGAGAATTAATTACAAATGGAGAGGACACACCTTTGCGAATGGACGCGCGCGGTTGTTTGGGTTACGAGTAAGTTAACCGATCAGAACGGACATGGAAGATTTAAATAGCTAACAAGGAAGCCATCAGATACCGATTGAGAAAGCCACAGGACATGGTGAAACGCATTTTGGACAGTTTGGAGCACCGAAGGGTTCTGTGAATATTTTATTTTTGTGATTTTAATAGTTTTAATAAATGTTAATTGCTATTTGCACTAAGGCCTGGTGTATTCCAACTCCATATCTGCTTCCACTACCAAAAGATGGGAAGTGTCTCCCAATAAAGATACGCTTGCTGTAACATCCAGAGCCAGGATATAAGGCCTCTGAACAAGGTGAGCAGGGTGTATACTTTGCACTTAGAAATTACACCCTGCCACACAGTTCTTCACTAGAAGCTGTTGCTTCCATTGCTTTTGACTCCTTTCTGAGCACTACTGAAAAGAAAAAAAGAGGATCAGTGTCCCCAGAGAAAACATATGCTTATGCGATTTGGCTCTGTCCCTATCTGGCTCTATCCCATGTGAATGTGTAATCTATTTCTTTTACACACTGGGTTTTAACTAAAATACTACACTATATATTGTTTATTTATGTCTAGTAATTTGCTGCACTACAAACCCCTTATTGGATAAGGGTAAGTGCTTATTTTTTTTAGTGCTCCACTATAAGCACTCGTGGTAATGTTAAAAACCACTTAGTTTATCTTTTGTACACTTTATATTTGTGTGTGACGTCAAGGTGATACTCACATGGTGTGGTAGCTGCTATATTTGTACATTATACTTATATCTTAAAGCGCACTTTCAGCACAGATCCCTTTGTATTTCAGTTCCTTCAGGTATTTTAATGTAAACAATGCCTCTATGCGATGCTGATTTGTCCCAATATCCTCCTAATTGCTTTCCTATGGGAAAGCACTGGATTGGCTGAGATAGTCAATTTTAAAGATCAAATCCATGGGAACAAAGCCAGCCGACCCATGCGTCGCTGAAAAAAAGGTAAGCTTATTACCTTATTTAACGCTATAGTGACTTGAATACACATTTGTCTTTCTATCACTGTCGTGTTCCCGTAATGTGGGTAGGAGGGGATATTATTTCTCCAAGCACAACTTACCTGGGTCCTGCTAGGTGCATGCAGCCACTTTGCTTTCTATTCCTCCTATGCAGAAGCCACAGTCCTGCATGGCCCCAGGGGCGTACCTAGAGCATTTGGCACCCGGGGCGGATCCTGTGCGTCCCACCCCCCCCCCCACCCAAAAAAAAAAAAAAAAACCTGTAAAAAATGTTAAAGGTTTTCTTTAATTAATCCACACTCCTTAATTAAACCATACCCCTTAATTAATCCATACCCCTTAATTAATCCACACTAATTCATCCACACACCCTTAATTAATCCACCCCCTTAATTGATACACACACCCTTAATTAATCCACACTAATTAATCCACCCCCTTAATTAATCCACTCCCCCATAATTAATCCATCTAATTAATCCACCCCCATTAATTAATTAATACACCCCACTTAATTAATACACCCCCATAATTAATCCACCCCCAATTAATCCACCCACCTTAATTAATCCACCCCATAATTAATCCACCCCTATAATTAATCCACTCCGCCTTAATTAATCCACCCCTATAATTAATACACCCCCAATAATTAATACACCACCCCTATAATTAATACTCCCCATAATTAATACACCCCCATAATTAATACTACACCCCCATAATAATATGGCACCCTCTCATAATACACCCCCTTAAGGGATTAGATACCCCTTTCCTTTCACTTCTTTTTCACCCCCTTCTTTCATCTTTTCACCCCCTTCTCACCCTCATTTCTTCTTTTCTCACTCCCCTCTCTCACCCCCCCTTTCTCCTCATGGACGCACCGCCCGGGCAAAGCTGCAGCCGCCTGAGGCTCTCTATAGAGCGCTTGGGCGGCTGCAGCATGGGGGGAGGGGGGGGGCGGTGGGGCTGGTCATGGCACCCCCCACCCTGGTGGCACCCGGTGGCGGACCGCCTCCTCCGCCCCCCCCTTAGTACGCCACTGCATGGCCCTACTTCTTTTCACAGTGCTGGAGAAGACTAAATGCATAGGCGCCATGAGTGCCAGGTTGTCAAAATTTACTAAAGCTATCTTGACGTATTATCTTGGACAACAACAGGGACCACAAACACTACAGAGGGCTGCACTGGTACTCTAAGGCAGTGGCGTACTAAGGGGGGGGCGGAGGGGGCGGCCCCCCCATGCTGCAGCCGCCCGAGCGTTCTATAGAGAGCCTCAGGCGGCTGCAGCTTTGCCCGGGCGGTGCGTCCATGAGGGCGGACCGCACCGCCCGGGCGCAGCCTGAGGAGAGGCTGACAGGAGGGAAGCGCTCCCTCCTGTCACTCCCTCTGTAGTAGCGTGGCCGAGCCCTGTATAGTCGGCGGGTACAAGGAGCATCTGTCTCCTGTACCCGGCCGGACTAACAGGAAGTGAACACCCGCCGACTATACAGGGCTCGGCCACGCTACAGCAAAGGTAGGGGGGAGGGGGATGAGAAAGAGGAGAAGGGGGTGGAGAGAGGAGGGGGGTGAGAAAGAGAAAATGAGGGGGTGGAGAGAGAAAGGAGGGAGTGGTAAAAGGGGGAGAGAAAGGAGGGGGGGGTGAGAAAGAGAAAGGGGGGTGAGAAAGAGAAAGTGGGGGGTGAGAAAGAGAAAGGAGGGGGTGAGAAAGAGAAAGGGGGTGAGAAAGGGGGAGAGGAAAGCTGAGGGGGGTGAGAGAGAAAGGGGTGAGAAAGAGGGGTGAGAAAAAGAGAAAGGAGGGTAAGTGAGAAAGAGAAAGGAGGGGGGTGAGAAAGAGAAAGGAGGGGGGGGCAGAAAGAGAAAGGAGGGGGGTGAGAAAGAGAAAGGAGGGGGGGTGAGGAAAGAGAAAGGGGGGTGAGAGAGAAAGAGGGGGGGGTGAGAGAGAAAGGAGGGGTGAGAGAAAGGAGGGGTGAGAAAGAGAAAGGAGGGGGGGTGAGAAAAGAGAAAGGGGGGGGTGAGAAAGAGAAAGGGGGGGTGAGAAAGAGAAAGGGGGGTGAGAAACGCCACAAAGTGCCCAGGGTGGGGGGTGCCATGACCAGTCCCGCCGCCCTCCCCCCCATGCTGCAGCCGCCCGAGCGCTCTATAGAGAGCCTCAGGCGGCTGCAGCTTTGCCCGGGCGGTGCGTCCATGAGGGCGGACCGCACCACCCGGGCGCAGCCTGAGGAGAGGCTGACAGGAGGGAAGCGCTCCCTCCTGTCACTCCCTCTGTAGTAGCGTGGCCGAGCCCTGTATAGTCGGCGGGTACAAGGAGCATCTGTCTCCTGTACCCGGCCGGACTAACATGAAGTGAACACAGTGTGTGCACTTCCTGTTAGTCCGGCCGGGTACAGGAAACAAATGCTCCCTGTACCCGCCGACTATACAGGGCTCGGCCACGCTACAGCAAAGGTGGATTAATTATGGGGGGGTGGATTAATTAAGGCGGAGTGGATTAATTATGGGGGGTGTATTAATTATGGGGGTGTATTAATTAAGGGGGTGGATTAATTAGTGTGGATTAATTATGGGGGAGTGGATTAATTATGGGGGAGTGGATTAATTAAGGGGGTGGATTAATAAGTGTGGATTAATTAAGGGCGTGTATCAATTAAGGGGGGTGGATGAATTAGCGTGGATTAATTAAGGGGTATGGATTAATTAAGGGGTATGGTTTAATTAACCCCTTAAGGACACATGACGGAAATATTCCGTCATGATTCCCTTTTATTCCAGAAGTTGTGTCCTTAAGGGGCTAAGGAGTGTGGATTAATTAAAGAAAACCTTTAACATTTTTTACAGGTTTTTTTTTTGGGGGGGGGGGTGGGGTGGGGTGTGCCAAGCACAGGATCCGCCCCGGGTGCCAAATGCTCTAGGTAAGCCCCTGCTCTAAGGTGCTTAGAGTATTCCTTTAACCCTGAAAATCATGCAGATAATTAATTGCAATATACAGTATTTTGAAGGGCAACTACCTACAAATCCTTCTCAAAGACTTAGAGGAAACATAGGGAGCACCTTGGCAATCCATGTTTAACTTTGGGCAATTTTAAATTACGCTAATTACTTCATAATCGTAAGTAAGTTCAAAACGGGATCCCTTAGGATATGAAACACTATTATAACATCATTTATCTGCCAGAACTGGTTGTATTATCTTTGAGATCTTACAAAAGTTCAGTGATTATACTAATCTCATTTTTAAAAAGCAATAGCATTATCATTTGCATAGTTTCAACAGGTTGAAGGTACATAGATCAGGCAGGTAGTTTGCTGTTGATTTAGATATAAATGTCCTATCGTAAATGGTACCAAAACATTGCAAATAAACTTTATACGTACCAAATCTATCAAACAATGTAATTTTTTACCCCTATATACCTGACATATTGGAACACTCTTATATTGTGAATAAACAAAACAAGCATGTATTCCATACCCTAAAGTGCTGGAATTCACAATTAGGTCCCCAGCCCCCCTCTCTCTGATTTCACTCACTTTTTCCCCTCATCTCACAGGTCTTGCAGGGGCTGGCTGTGTCACCATCAATCTTGATGATGTCAGTCAATTCAATGCTTTCCCAAGCAGCTACTGCTGATTGGCTACAGTGGTCAGCTGACAATGTAAGCCAATCATTAGCCCCACATTCATCAAAAAGATGCATACCGTACATTTTTTAAGTATCTAAATAAATGGTGATTCCTTCACCTGTGAATCAGTTCTTGGCTGGGCTTTGCCAACAACATAGCATGTATATGTCAAGGATTTATAGAGTTGAAAAGCAGACTAAGTTATTCACTCAAGTGAGAATTCAAAGTTAATTCTAGGTAAATTTCAAATTTAAGATAAAGGTAGTTGAAATTGAAACATTCAAATCAGCTATGGCCTTAAAATTTCAACTGATAATACTAGAAATGTATATATTTTTTCTCACCATTTGTGTGTTTGGAAAAATGTATGCACAAATATACATAACGCGTTAAAGGGTGATTTTTGCACAGAGTTGTTATGTCATTAAAACCTTGTATAATTTTTTTTCCCCTACTTAGCGGATATATGCCTTGCACTTTAGATAACTATTGCTGAACTGTTCAATTATTATTATTATTATGATGATATTTATAGAGCGCCGTCAAATTCCGCAGTGCTTTACAATGGGTGGACGAACAGACATGTAGTTGTAACCAGACAAGTTGGACACACAGAAATAGAGGGGTTGAGGGCCCTGCTCAATGAGCTTACATGCTAGAGGGAGTGGGGTAAAATGACACAAAAAGGTAAGGATAGTATTAGACTAGTGACAGTTGCAGAAGAGGAATCAGTCAGGAGCTATTAACAGTTTAATTGATACGCTTTTATGAAGAAGTGGGTTTTTAACGATTTTTTGAAGAAGTGGAGACTGGGTGAGCATCTAACGGAGGAGGGAAGCGAGTTCCACAGGAAGGCGAGCATCAGAGGTGGGAGTACAGACAGAAGATAGAAGATTCATTTCCTTGTAATTTTGAGTCAAATATATTGATCATCACTAATTAGTTGATATACACATTTTTTAAATTTGGTAATCATTTGGTAAATTTATAAATGGTAATCGCAGTTTAGTGGATATATACCTTGCACTTTATATAAGCATTGTTGTACTCATTTTTGCACTTTTAATCGTGAGTACATTTTTAAACGATACAGACTATTATTATTTTTCTTTCTTTTCCTAATTTGGAGCTTACTCCTTTCGTTGTGTCAGATAAATATGATCACATATCGGTAATTAGTATTATTCATTCTGATTAAATAAACGCGCCAGTTTTTCACTTGGTTATGGTTAAACCTCCCTTTAATCTTACCTTAAACTCCTTTACCATAGCACTATCTTTAACCCTGCATATATTTACAATGTGGGTTTATATATAAATACAGTATGTAAACATTTTTGATAGGAGGGAGCAGGGTACTGATGATGAAATATATGGCACAAATAAAAAAATAGATTGGTGAGCATCTTTTATTATCCCAGAATGTTTTAGCCTGGAGTGCGATTCTGCTTGGCCTTCAGACAATTATCTAACAACATCCAACACATAAAAAAAACTGTTCCACTGGAATGCTGAAGACATTATTTCATCCAAATGACTAATTAATTAATTCCCTTCGTTACCAACTCTGCTGATAAAATTGAATTCAAAAACAGTCTGTTTCCCTGTTGCCTAACAGACCTCCTCTCAAAAACAAAGAAGCCCTTGTGGAGAGTAAATGACTGAAAATAGAGTGGTAAATCCAAGAATTATGTCCCCAAGATAGGAAGCACATCTTTAACACCAAAATACCATGTTGTGTATGTTTTATGTGCTGTAAAATGGCACTGACAATACTCTGTATACCCCCAAGTGTCCCTACTTTGGATGGCACAAGATTTGGGACCCAAATCTTCACATGCTTCTTATTTACCCTGATGTTACTCTTCTCTGGGAGCTCAAAATGTTTACTGTGTCACTCATTTGGGACATAGCAGGAGCAACTTACTACAGAGCCTTGAACAGTTAGTGGGAGATAATGGGTTCATCCATAGCAGTGGGCTACTCCTTTATTTTTGGAAAAGTCTTAAGGTAGTGGTACTCAGTGGTATCCTTGGAACCCAAATGTTTGCCACCTGCATTTACCATCATGCTCAAAAGCTAGCTGTAAACCTGGTTTAGCACCACAAGAAATGCAGTTGAAAAACACCCAAGGGGCCAAATTTTTACAATTTTTTTTTACAAAAAGAACTCACCTTGGGCCTACTTGCACTACCACCCCTAGTCCACAACTGTCCAGTCCATAGTAGTATATGGACCACTAAAACCGCAGGGCATCTTGTTCTCAGTTGGGCAAAGACCCAGATGCATGAACCCTTTCAGTGAGGAGTCCTCCAGTTGTACATTTGCAAACCAATTAATCACACAACAACAATACTTGTAGATATGTGTAAAAATTACATGAAAGACTATGATTAAGGTAAATAGTTTCAACGTTATGAATAATTGAAGCCAATGATTGGCTACTATAAAAAGCTGTAAATAATTGCTTTAGCAGTATGTCTCAGGAAATAAAGCCATATGAATCACAACTGAGAATAACTTAAGCATTGTATTTATTCTGAATGGCAAATGTAGGTAACAATTCAGATGGAAAAAAAAATCAACTATAGCAACTGCCTGGATTTCAGTTTGCTATATTTCAGAGTTTAGTGAATAACTCTGTGAAGTGTGAATTGAAAGTGCTTTATTTTTTTGTTTCATGCCAAAACAGACAAGCTGAAAACATAACTTACTAAAATATTTCCAACTTTGTTTAAAAATAAGAAATTCGCTCTGAATTCCAACCATTTCACTATTTAGTGAATAACCCTGTGTGTAGCAGTAAACAGTAAGTAAAGGCAAACATGGCAGATTAACTACAAAGAGAACTTAAATTTTCTCAAAATATCCAATTTGATCTCCCAGTCAACAGTGGTTTATTTTTCCTTTTAATTTTATTTTTACTATTTACCCTGCCATACCAGTCAATGTTTAAAATCATCATAAAAACATCATAAAAGATCAAAAACTTATTTTTTACAATGGGCATTGCATACAAAGCTTCCTGAAAATGTCAGTACATTGAGTGTAAATTGTGTTTGGAATTCAGTTATTGTATATTTAAGTTCAGGGAAATCCATGGAGAGCACAGACAGCCAACTGTTGATAGTGTATTGTGTTCCCTCATAACAATGTACCACGGTATACAAACAATCATGCTGGCAAGTCATAGCCCAGTGCCCTTTATAATATCGTCTGTGTCTCCCGGCTATGCCCCCTTCTCTCAGCCATATCTGGCATCCATTCCCCCAGTGATCTAGTGACTCTCAGTGACAGCTCTGTCCCTGCTTGTTGCACCTTTGCTTTCTGTCCATTTTACGTTTGCGGAAGTCCCAGCAGGGGTGGTGCATCAGACTTGAATAGCATAATAGGCGGCTATTCATAAAATATTAATAATATTTATAGCGTTGTCACTACTTCCTTCTGCAAGTGACAGTACATACGACGACCCATTGGGGGGAGGAGGGGGCAATGCTACACAAGCAGCGACCATCTCAAATGCAGAGCACTATCCAATGAATATTAATACATGATAGCACCAGACTGCTTCATGCAGCACGGACTGCTAGTGCACAGCATTCCAAAAACAGAACAAGTCACTTCTAGAATCATAGCAATACGCACTCATTGTTCCATGGACACACAGTATCACACAGAACATAAAGGGTACTTACCTTCACAAGTGGCACCATGAAGCTGGCACCCCCAGGCTAGTGTGCCCCTTGCTGATTCATTTATGCAGTCCCTCCTCCTATGGATTGCCAGAGTCCGGTGTTAGACTCTCTCCATCTTCCTGGTGTGATCTGCTAAACAGACTGGAAGGCGACACCTCATACCTGTAATTAGCCGGTGCTTACTACTGGTTGGACCAGTTTCAAGGCTCTGTCACTCTCCACCCTTTGCATACAGCTAGGGCTGGGTGCAGGTGAAAGGTCCCTCCCAAATGGTGACATCAGAATAGTCAATGCCTCGTCGTCTGGCCCACCCTTTCCTATTGACAGTGTAACCGCCTTGTTGGTTCGGCTACTGTTTTTCTGGGCATCCCCAGCAAAGCATGGAGAGCAGTTAGAAGGTCTGTAATCTTTTTAGAGGAATGTGTACTGTCACAGTGAAAAATAACTGCCATTTTACAGCCAGCGTTAATGTTTCTCAGCTGCTGCAGAAGTCGGTGAGAAATAGGTGGCAAGCATTATATACGTCACTATATACAGTATGTAGGGGGACAGTGATAATACAGACAGTTTAGCTACCAAAAAGATTACAGAGTTTTCTGCTTTGGCATTGGATAAAAAAGAAATCAATGAACCTGCACTACCAAACCCCTTCAATTGATTTTGTTAATGACACAAACGGGCAGCAGAGGACAGAATTGAAGATTATATTAGCTTTAGTGTACTAATAATCTTAATTTTAGTAATGACAGGAGGCGAATATTTGCATATCTTTCTTTACTGAAAACTCCAGCAGCATAGAAACATAACAACCAATCAGAAAAAAGTTATGATGCCCATAAAAGGCCCTGTCTATGACATCACTTCCTCTTTCTTTGAAGCGAAACAATAAATAACAACAAGAGACAATCATATTACGTCAACAGTTCAACAACATATTAGAATATCCAACTCCATTAGTTCCGCGATGCAGAGGTATGGAAGGTGAATCTTTGTCTCGATGAGAAGACGTTCACGCTGCAAGAAAAAGAAAAAGGTGAAAGGTATCTGGCGTGATAACTTGTCCGCATACAATAAGCATTAAGCATCTGATATACCAACGAACATTAGAATGTGAAACATATCAATATATATTTATTCCAACGCAATGATATTTAAGAATCTATAAACACAACATAATGCAAGGTTCATGTCTAATATTCAGCCAATACAAGACCCACAAGATACAGGTCTAAGTAGCAAACATACAAACCATACGTACTTACCTTCCTGAACATAAAGGACATATTCTGTTCAACACGAGAAACATGGGAGGGATCCTATAGGGTGGGAAATATTCGCCTCCTGTCATTACTAAAATTAAGATTATTAGTACACTAAAGCTAATATAATCTTCAATTTTACCACATGACAGGAGGCTTCATATTTGCATTTTTAAAGCTTTGAATTGACCAATGTGAAGGAAGCATGAGATGTTTGCCGAAAATAGAACGTTCTAAACGTACTCTCTCGCGCTCAGTCCGCGCAGCGTATAATGTCGGCTAGGGAAGCGTCGGCCGAAAAGGTTTGTGAGGCCGCCGCTCCCCTGACCGAGTGGGCTCCGAAACAAGGTTCGACGCTAAAGACAAAAACCAGCGGACCCATCTGGCCAGTGTTGCGGTAGACACCGGTCCATGAGGGTTCACGTAAGAAGTCAGAAGGTGATCCGTCGAATGAGTTCGAAGGGGGTAGAGATATTGGTGTACCCCATTAGCGTTCTGACCACGCATAGTGTGGCGTCTGACACAAAGCATGGGTATGACACTGAAGACGAATCAGACTTAGTTCGTCTCGACATGGTAAAGGTAACCCCATCTGGTGTGAGAGAGAAACCATCCATATCGCAAGCCCTAACGTCCGCCACCGTCTAAATGAGGCGAGGCATAATAAGAGGGCTAGTTTGGCTGAAAGTTGCTTCAGTGACAAACAAGGATTGTCCGGCCATTCCCTAAGGAATCTCAGCACCACATCCACCTGCCAGAGGCATGAATATTTGGGTGCAGGGATCTCGACAATTCGGCACCCCGCAGTAGTCGACAAACCAGTGTATCTTGACCTACTGGTCTGCCCTGTACCGGAACGTGCGCCGCCAATATGGCGGATCTGATCACATTGAGGGATCGATATGACCCACCCAACGAGACCAGGTGTGACAGATAGTTGAGGATCAGTGGGACAGGTGCGGTAAAGGGATCGGAATCCCTTTCCACACACCAATCACTCCAGGCCGACCAGGCAGAAATATAGCCTTTCCTGGTGCCGGGAGCCTATGAGTCCCATAGGAGGTCTTAGTTGATGCAATAGGTCGTGAACTGACCAGGAGCCCCTGAAACCGTCCAGGCAACTAGTGCCAGTTGTCCTTCCATGACAAGGGAGTGGGCTTCCCCTCGAGGTCCCGTCAGAAGTAGAGGGAAGGTAGGGAGTAGTAGAGGGTCTTCGCGAGACATCTCCAGGCGATCCGGGAAATCTTGTATCTTGTGGGTGTGTGTGTGTATCGAAGCACCCTTGCTATTGTGGAGAACGGCTGGGTCATGTTTGCAGTGGTTCATCCATCGCCCTGTATCCGAAGGAAGAGTCAAAGATCGTTTTGCCAATCCAAGTTTGTATGTGAAGTAATCACCATCGAAATTCCATCCTCACTTCCGCTGACAGTGGGATCCAGTGGTCGTATGAGTGACCGGTGCGTACGTATCTCACCATCAGTCGTAGTGGGCCAGGGAATAACGCTTGTATGGAGGAGGAGAGGAATCCCACAATCCGACAGCTATCCTTATAGAGGCGCTCTTTGCCGTAGACGGACGCGGAACGTAGCTCTCCAAGCCGATGTCGAAACCGAGGAACTGGCCCGATTCAGATGGAGAAGCGATCTTTGTCTGTGTACAACAAAAAACCCATGGAGTCCCGAAAGTGAACGACAAATTTGTCTGCAAATGTAGCCTGGATTCGTAAAGAATCAGCAAGTCTTCCAGGTATACGAGGCATCGCACGCCCAAATTTACGGATGTGTGCCCTCACTGGTTACAGTAGGTTCGCGAGCACCACGGAGTCGTAAACTGCTGTGTTTGTCCTCACCATTGGAATCGGAGGAAAACTTCGGCAGTCCAGGGCAACGGGTACTGACAAGCGTGCGTCCTTGAGGTCCAGATGTGTAAACCAGTCGTTATCGCCTAGGAGGTCTTGTAGAAGACGAATTTCCTCCATCTTGCAGCATTTGTATACCATGTAGGAGTTCCATTGATGTAGTCTCCTGGCTTCTTCTTGACCAGGAAAAATTTGCTGGGGAAGCCTTCCCCTCCGGTGCATGTTGAATTGCGCCCCTCCTGAAGAGGGTGCAGATTTTCTTGTCCACGAGGCGTTCCTGTTCCGCCAGCGTGCGTAATGGAGGTGAAGGGCGACCTGCACGGCTGTGATAAAACTCTATGACATAGCCTTGTACTGTCTGGAGAACCCAGGTGACTTTGGTAGTCGTCTCCCAATTCTGTAAGACAGAGACAGGTTGCCGGTCATAATATTGGAAACAGTTAGTTATATAGGTTGACACACTAGTAGATGAAGCGGATGGGTTCCTTTGTGTAGTAGATGGGAGAAATATGAGGACTGTGTATACGATCTGGAACCTGTCGCCCAGAAGCGGCTGGTGGCTCGGTTCAGCTACCGACCAGTCCTCCCAGAAACACCTTTCCCCGTAGGGTTGTGGAAGGCTTGTTTTAGCGAGGTCTGGGTTTAATTTAGTGGGGTGAATAAATTCACGTGTTTCTTGAGTACTGCAATGAACACTACGTCGAATAGTAGGCCTTGTGCTTTTGGGCCGAATTCTTGTCGTTCCTAAGTCCAATAGTGTGTTGTCGATGCGGCCCAGTACAGATTTGCGTCTGTCGGCGCATAGTGCGTCATTTACGTTGCCCAGGAGGCATATCAAGCATTGAGACCATTCTTTGGAGGTGGTAGGGTTGAGTTGTGTACCCTGGGGTAACTCGGTCTTGAGGCGTGCGCATCCTTCCATCCCCCGAGGGTTGCGCAGCCAATAGTGTTCGTCCAGGAACGTTCCATCTTCGGCTACTCTGGTTTAGTGCCGCTACAGTTATCTCTACCTCAGCCGCCGTCACAGAATAAGGTTTCCCTAACGTACTTCGAGGAAGTGTGGGGAAGGTCTTGCCGTTCCATTTCCTCAGACGATGAGCTGTCTTCGTGTCGCTCATCTACCATGTCCAAAGTACGTGGTGGGTAATAGTCTTCTTTGTCGGAAGATTGTGGCGGACTGGGTTTGGATTCCCGGTGCTCCGCCTATTTGGTCTGTTCGATGGGCGTCTTGCCCTTGACCTTAGTGGCAGGGGGGCTGGAGCCCTTCCCTTGCCGTTTTGACTTGGAGGCTTGTGGGCCTGAGGTCTCCATCAAGCGGTGTGGGGTAGAGTTCATAACAGAACCTTCTCCACTGAGGCCGTTACTGTGGCGTTTATCATTGCCTAGAAATCTTGGGAACATTGAGAGTGTCCACCATGACTCGTTCCCATCCTATTGGGAGATAGTGTGAGGGTCAGCACGTAGGGGTGTTAGACTCCTGGTAGAACTGGGGATCACCCAGGTAAAACGGTTTGAATTGCCTGCTTTAGTATGTCTGAGAGTATGAATACTCGTGCCAAGTGTAGAGGGGTCACCTCTATTAGTTTAATCTGGCTACTGAGAGCCGTGGTGCAGGCGCGACTGACTGGTAGTGGTGTCGGTCTGGCTAGCCGGGTTCACCACAAATGTACGCCAGAGCTGTATGCACGGTTTTTAACTATACAGGCTTATTATATAGGCGCATGGGGCCTGTCTCCATAAGGTCTGCAGCCGCAGGACCTATGTCTATTAGGCTGGGTTCATCCCAGGTGGTGTGCCATGGTAACCCAGAGGACACCCATATTATAATTATTGGCACCTTACAAGCATTGCATGCATATCTGGGGGTCATCCCAGGTGGTGTGCCATGAAAAATTACCCAGAGGACACCCACGTTCAATATGTACACTAGGCACAGTAAATATACATAAATGTATCCCTATGAAGGGTACACCGCAATACACTCAGTTTTCTTAGTGATCCTGCCGTCAAATCGCATCCGGCATGGTACTGTTGCTTTAATGTAAAACTGACAGGCAGTGTTTAACCCCTTAAGGACACATGAGATGTGTGACATGTCATGATTCCCTTTTATTCCAAAAGTTTGGTCCTTAAGGGGTTAA